CATGCAGTGAGGCCTGGGGTTCCGGCGGAGGAGGCTGGTCCTGGCATTTCCCCTGCCAAGCACAGAGGAGGCAGGTCCCGGCAGTTAAGGCAGGTTGTGGCAGGGAGGGCAGTTGTGGGCAATCAGGCTGGTAGGGGAGTGGTCAGGGTGTGATCAGGCTGGCAGGCAGAAGTGGTTAGGGGCAATCAGGCAGGCAGTCAGACAGGTGAGCAGTAAGGAACCAGTGGTCCCAGATTGTGAGAGGGATGTCCAACCCAACTGCTGATTTAGGCCTGATCCCATGCAATTTGGACCTAAATCGGCAGTCATCATTACCCAAGGGATACCAGATTGGAGAGGGTGCAGGCCGGGCTGAGGGACATCCCCCCCCCCCCCCCCCCCCAATGCACGAATTTCGTGTTCTGGGCCTCTAGTCAACCAATAAAGAAAAACAACTGAAAGTGTAGCCTACACTCCAGCTTTATGTAATTTATTCTTAGACCAATGGCCTTTTCATATTCCATATTGGAACTTGAACTCAGATAAGTTACTTTAGTTTCATACATATAAGTATAGATTCTTCATTAATATTTATTTATTTAAGCCTTTATTTTGGAATACTTTTAGATTTACAGAAAAATTTCAAAGATTAAACAGTTTCCATATACCCAGTTTCAATTTCCCTTAATTTCACTTTCCTTTAATGCTATTATTTGTTGATATTAAGAAACCAACATTGCCACATCATTATTAACTAAACTTCAGGTTTTATTCATATCTCACTAGTTATTCAATTAAATGTTTTTTTTTCTGCTTCAGAATCCAATCTACAATACCACATTGCATTTAATTGTTCTGTCTCCTTATAATTCTCTGATTTGTGCCATTTTTCTGTCTTTGACTTTGAAGCAGAATTTGTCAGGTACTTTGTAGAATGTCCTTCAATTTGAATTTATTTGCTGTTTTTCTCATGATTAGATTGGGTTATTGGGTTTTGATCATTAATATTTATTTTCTACTAGAGGCCTGGTGCACAAAAATTGTCCACAGGTAGGTTGCCTAGGCCTGGCTGCCGATTGGGGCCTTCTGGCTGCTGACTGGGGCTTTCCTTTGTTCCATGCCACCCCCTGGTGGTCAGCACAAGTCATTGTGAGCGATCAAACTCCCGAGGGGACACTTTGCATATTAGCTGTGTGTGTGTGTGTGTGTGTGTGTGTGTGTGTGTGCATTTTTGTGTTTTTTTGTTTGTTTGTTTGTTTGTTTGTTTTTAAATAATCGCCCTGGCCTATGTGGGTAAGTTGGTTGAGCATTGTCCCATGCACATCCCATGATCGTGTTATGGGTTTGATCTCCAGTAGGGGGTGTGCAGGAGGCAGCTGATCATGTTTCTCTCTCATTGATGTTTCTCCCTTCCTCTCTCTAAAAAATAATTTAAAAAACAATTGAAAAAGGAGAAAGTAATTTACCCTGTTGCTTTCACAGATAAAAACTACTGAGGAATTCAGTGTCATTTTTAAAAAATATATTTTTTAATTCTTAGTGTGTGTGTGTTGATTGACTTCAGGGAGAGGAAGTGAGAGGGAGGTAGAAACATCAGTGAGAGAGAAACATTGATCAGCTGCCCCCTGCACACCCCCTGCTGGGGATTGAGCCCACAACTTGGGCATGTACTCTGACTGGGAATTGAACCAGTGACCTCTTGGATGATGCTTAACCAACTGAGCCACACTAGCTGGGCCAAGAATATGTTTTTATTAATTTTTAGAGAGAGGGGAATGAACAGTGGAAGGAGGGAAGGAAAAGGGAGGGAAGAGAGCGAGAGGGAGAAAGAGAAAAAGAAAATCAGTGTGAGAAGGAAAACATTGGTGGGTTGCCTCCCTTATGCTCCCCAACCAGGATTGAACTTGTGACCTAGATATGTGCCCTGGCTGGGAATTGAACCCACAACCTTTTGGTTTACTGGCCAGGGCTCAGTGATCTTTTCTTCTTTTTTAATAACTTTATTGAGATATAATTTACAAACTATAAAATTCATCCTTTTAAAGTATACATGTTAATGGTTTTCACTAGAATGATAGAGTTGTGCATCACCTCTCTCGATCTTAGAACATTATCATTACCCCAGAAAGATACTTCATACCCATTAGCAGTCACTCCTCAGTCCTCTTCCCATATCCTCTGGCAACCACTGTTCTGCTTTTTGTTTTTATGGATTTGCCTATTCGGGATAGTTCATATAAATTGGGTTATATAATATGTGACCATTTGTGACTGACTTCTTTCATTTAGCATGTTTTACAGGTTCATCCATGTTGTAGTATGTACCAACACTTAATTCCTTTTTATGACTGAACAAGAGGCCTGGTGCACAAAATTCGTGCAAGGGTATGGTCCCTAGGCCTGGCCTGCAATTAGGACCATCTTCCCCAGCTACCTGCAGCCAGCCAACAACAACCCCCCCACTCCCACCCCCCACCACCTACCTGCCTCGGATCCCTGTTTATCATTGGGTGATCAGAGCCTGATGGCCAGGGGAAGGGACCAAGAGGTTGGCCGTTCCTGCCCGCTTGCCAGCCCTGCCCCCGCTGCGGGTTGCCCTCTGTGTGTGGGGCGACTGGTAGGGTGGGGGCCTTGGTCTGGTGCCACCCGTGTCCCCCACCAGCCACTTCAAGTTTCCTGTTCACCATTGGGCAATCAGAGCCTGCCAGCCAGAGAAAGGGACTGAGAGGTGGTCAGTGAGCCTCATAGTGACTGGTTGAACAGTTCTGATTCTTCCGTTAGGGTCAATTTGCGTATTACCCTTTTTATTATATAGGATAGAGGCCCGGTGCATGGACAGGGCCTGGCTGTCCTGTCCTGATGGTGATCCCGGATTGGGGTGGGGTTCCCACTGTGGGGGTGAGGCACCAGGGATGGTTTGCAGGCTGGCAATGCCCCCTATCTGGGTGGGGGTCCTGGGTGGGGGCAGGGCTGGCCGTGGTGAGGGACTGGGGGTGGTTTGCAGGTCAGCCATACCCCCTATCAGGGTGGGGTTCCTCCTGGGGGCGGGCACGGTCAGGGCAAGGCCATGGTGGTTCTGCGGTTTGGGTCACTGGGCTTTTATTATATAGGATAATATTACATTGTATGGATGTATTCATTTGTACATTTTCAGTTGATGGACATTTGGGTTGTATTTACTTTTTGGACATTATTAATGCTGTTGCTATGAACATTTTTTACAGGTTTTTATGTGGACATAGGTTTTCAGTAATCTTGGGTGGAATTGCTGGGTCATAGGGTAATTCTTCGTTTAACATTTTGTGGAATTGGCAGATAACTTTCCAAAAGTGGTTGCACCATTTAGCAATCATACTAGCAATGTATGAGAGTTTGATTTTCTCCCCACCCTTGCCAGTACTTATTGTATATCCTTTTCGAAAAAAAATCTTTTCTAGCTTGTTATTTTTTTTTTTAATTGTTCTTTTTAAATCTTTATTTTTGAAAGATTTATGTCCCCCTTTCCTCCCCATTGATCTCTTCTGGCCCACCCTTATTGCTTGCTCCAGGCCTTCATTATCCTATTGTTTGTGTCTATCATTTAAAAAAATGTCTTGTGAATTTATTGGGTAAGATTGGTTAATAAAATTATGGGATTCAGGTGCTCAGTTTTATAATATAGTATCTGTATATTGTATTATGTGTTCATTACCCAAAGTCAGGTGTCCTTTCATTACTATTTATCCATCCTTTACCCTCTTTTATGTCCCCTCATTTCACTTTCCTTCTGGTAATCATAGTTGTCTGTGTCCATGAAATTTTTTTAATCTCATCACCTTTTTTACTTAGTCCTCTTTCCTCTGATAGCTTGTCGATCTGTTTTCCATATTTGTTAGTCTGTTTCTATTTTGTTTATTTTGTTCATTAGATTCTTTTTTTTTTTAATATATTTTATTGATTTTTTTACAGAGAGGAAGGGGGAGAGAGAGAGAGAGAGCTAGAAACGTTGATGAGAGAGAAACATTGACCAGCTGCCTCTTGCACACCCCCTACTGGGGATGTGCCCGCAACCAAGGTACATGCCCTTGACCGGAATCAAACCCGGGACCTTTCAGTCTGCAGACCGACGCTCTACCACTGAGCCAAACCGGTTTCTGCTTGTTCATTAGATTCTTAGTAAAAGACAAATCATATGGTATTTGTCTTTCTTTGTATATCCTTTTGATTTATCCAATCTAGTGGGTGTGAAGTGGTGTCTCCTTGTGGTTTTGATTTGCATTTCCCTTAATGATTAATAATTGAGCATTTTTCATGTGCGTATGGCCATGCTTTGTAGAAATTAGTTTTAAAATCCTTTGCCCATGTAAAAGTTTTTATCTTTTTATTGTTGTCAGTAGTCTCTTTGAACAAAGATGGGTGTTATACACTGATAAACGACATTCGTATTAGGTGACAGTGAATTTTTCATGTGTGTTAGTGATAGACTATTAGGTTTAACTAGTTTATATATCAAGAATATTTTTAAGTCCTAAGTATTTCTTTTTTAAAAGTCCTAAGATTTTACTTTATGGTGATTAGTACATGCTCAATAAAGCTTGATTGAGCATGCCTCTATAATAATGAGATGGATTAATTTTAATATTTTTGGAATGTCAAAAACAGCAACATTTTAAGTCATTTAAAAATCTAAACATCAATTTAAAAATAATCTATTGATTTCAGAGAAGAAGGGAGTGGGAGAGAAAAATAGAAACATCAATGAGGAGAGAGAATCATTGATTGGCTGCCTCCTGCATGCCCCTCCTGGGGATTGAGCCTGTAACCTAGGCATGTGCCCTTGACTGGAATCGAATCCGGGACCCTTCAGTACACAGGCCGACCCTCTATCCACTGAGCCAAACCAGCTAGGGCTAAGCACCAAATTTTAATTATGTGCATTGAATCTTTGACTTAACTGGAGCAATTCCAACTTTCCCAAGTAATTGAATTTACTTTATAAACTGTGTTCTAATGTCTGTCTTTTTTTTTTTTTTTTTTTTAAGGTTATCCTGAATACCACATGTTTAACAATTTTCCTTGTGACATTAGCCCGTGTTTTCCACTGCCTCCAAAATATCAAAATTGCTCTGGAAATTGGGGACATACTTGACTTAAAAGAAATAACTTTAACAAATGGACAATATGTCTATTACAAATACACCAACAAGCAATGATGCCTGTCTGAGCATTGTACATAGTTTGATGTGCCATAGACAAGGTGGAGAGAGTGAAACATTTGCAAAAAGAGCAATTGAAAGTTTGGTAAAGAAGCTGAAGGAGAAAAAAGATGAATTGGATTCGTTAATAACAGCCATTACTACAAATGGAGCTCATCCTAGTAAATGTGTTACCATACAGAGAACATTGGATGGAAGGCTTCAGGTTAGTCTTGTGCTTGAGTTTTCATATATCTTCTGTAGTGGCAGATTAAAAAAGAAATTGTCATTCCCTTTTAGTTTCTTTGGGATATTTTAATTCTTGCCCCATCTCTTTAGATATTATACATCCGGTACCAATACCCACTATGGGAATATATGGAAGAATATGTATTCCATATAATAAAGACATTTTTTAAGTTGTTTAACATTCTGACTAAAAAGTTAAATGTAGAAAATTTGGAACATAAAAATAAAAGGCAGAAGAAAACCCATACCTTTAGCATTTTGGTATTCATTCTTGTTGCATTTTATGGTTTGTTTGTTTTTTTGTTTTTTTTTTGGTATTATTTTCACATTTTGGAAACCTGAGTTATACTTGTGATTTTTTTTTTTAAATAATTTAGAAATCTGATAATGTATGTTTGGTACTTTTATATAAAAAATCAAGCAGAATTCAAGGATATCTTTAAAACTTAAGTTAAAAAGCTTATATTTGACAAATTTTCTTTACCTTTTATTTTAACTGGTCACTTTTTTTTAATGTAGAACTACATAATATTTCTTTTGTCTTTAATATTTTTAAAGGAACATGTCATTAGATTTAACATTTTTATTTCTAGATTTTATGCATAATTTCCACAACAAAGCCATACTTTTTTTTTTGCATTTTAAAACCTGAGCACAGGACTTGAAATCATACCTAAGTTCCCTGCTTTGTGACCATGGCCAAGTAAGTTATTTTGAGCTTTAGTTTTCTCATTTATGAAATGGAGATTAAAAAACTGACTTTATAGGATTGTAAGGATTAACTGAAGACACGGATAAAGTGCCTTGTATAATGTATGGTTCATACCTGATGTTCAATAAATGGTTGTTTCTTTTTCCTAGGTGGCAGGCCGGAAAGGATTTCCTCATGTAATCTATGCCCGTCTCTGGAGGTGGCCTGATCTTCACAAAAATGAACTAAAACATGTTAAATATTGTCAGTATGCATTTGACTTAAAATGTGATAGTGTCTGTGTGAATCCATATCACTATGAACGAGTTGTATCACCTGGAATAGGTAAGTAAACTTTGCTTTTTTCCTTAGAAGCACAAGGGGAAAACATCTCAATAGTGTTTTAATTTTTTTTAAATTAAATTATAAATGTAGAGGTGGACTTCAATAAAAGTTAAAGAGACAGACATTCTTAATGAAATATAAATATTGAAATTTCAACTTTGGAACACACTTGTATTTTGGTTGCTAAAACTAAATAATTGGTATTTTGCCCATTTAGAATATTGTTTTGGAAAATAAGATGAAAAGCATGATAAAGTTGAATATTTCATGTATTATGATAGCATTTATTCTTGAAATGGTTCATGAAGTTTTGACTTTGGTTTACTATTTACATTTAATAATTTAAAATATAATGGAAAATATTTGCATGGTAATGATTAATGTTTCATTTCTTTTCCCCTTTTAAAAATGAAGATCTCTCAGGATTAACATTGCAGAGTAATGGTAAGTAACCGGTTTCTTGTAACTTTCTCTGTGTTTTTTTTTAATTTTTTTATTTTTTATTCAGTCTCCTCTATTTTTCATTTACTTAGAAATTGTAGATTCTGATAACATTTACCACAAAACGTCCTGCCCCTTTGGAAATGTAGGTTTGGGTGTTGCATGCATCAGCATTTAAAACTGGATTTAAATAAGCTGTTGGTGCTTTTATTTGAACTGCTGTTTATGAACTAAAATAGTATAAAAATATAATAGGGAATCATAAAACATACAAAGGAAGAATATTTTTTTTTAATAACTTACAATTGGTTATAAATTGTTAAAACATGTGGTATTCAGGATAACCTTTTGGAAGAAAATCTAACAGAGCTGGTTTAAATGGGTATAAATACCTGGTAATGTTTGGTAATTTGGAATCTTATATTAACATGAAAAATTCTAGTATTCTCATTTTTCTTCATTTCAGCTTAACTTATTTTTATGAATGATAGGTAATTTTAGAATGATTTTAAACTATATATATAAATATTTTTTCAGTCTTGTTACATTTTGAGTAAATTAAGCAAAGGCACTTTAAAGTATATGCTGATCACAGATGATCTAGTCCAGTGGTTGGCAAACTCATTAGTCAACAGAGCGGCAAGCTGCTGTTTGCCAACCACTGATGTAGTCCTACTTTAAAAAGGAAAAGTGTTTTGAGGTGGGGAAATGCAACAGGGATCTGTTAAAACTTTAGCTCTGTTATTTAGAACATGTTAATAAACTCAAAATTCTAAGAACTAATTAATTTGCAGAGAAACTCTGGTGAAGAGCCACTGTCACCTTAAAAAGGTGTGCCATTGTTCTGGGGGAAGTTAGTAGCTCACTACCTCTTCTGTTGCAGAATCTTTGAGGTGGTTCAGAAATATCTTCTGACCTTAAACAAAACTTAGGAAGACCATGAAAGTCCACTTGTTTTTATTCTCTACTTTTCTTTTGTGCCATTAGTAACAGAAGAATACTCTAGTGCCTTTTGGTACTTATTAATGGTTATTAGGTTTCTTCAAACAATTGATTGGTAATAGAAGCTGTTGTGATGGTCTGGGAAGGGACCCAGAGTGGTTAAAGCCCTGTCACCATAGATATTGATACCATGTCACTTCCCATCATCACCGTTCTCCATCCGTATTTTTTGGAGAATTAAAGCATTTAGCTTAAGGAGTGTTAGGGGTTGGGAAACTGTAGTGATAGCTATATTAGAATCTCCTTTGGAGGTGCTTTTGAGGGGTTCTAATTCTGTAGACCCTTTACACTCTTCCCCTATCTTAACCCTTTGCACTCCGAACCATTCTGGACATTGGCTACCAGCTACTCGACGCTACTTTGCGGCGGACACGTGTGTTGAAATAACTCAGTTCCTCATAATCACTAATAAACTGCAATGTCCCCCCTGAGAGGGGACATCCGAGTGATATGCTAGAATTCCGATGTCCCCAGAGAGGGGACAGCGGAGTGCAAAGGGTTAAAATACTGCTGTTACTGAGTACCATTATTTGGGTTAGGATTTTTCTGTCTGGTCCTAAACCTTAAGGGATATTCAGTATATTTTAACTTTCAAAGACTATGTTACTTAATAATTCTAGATCCTGGAATTGGATAGCTATCAGATCTGACTCATAATTTTATCATGTGTGAAATTAGCAAAAGGATATAGCTCAGTGCTCAATCTCAATTTGTCTCATCTGGATAGTTTCCCCAGATATTTGATTTTTGTATGCCTCATATTATATATTTAAGGTAATTGTTATTTCTAAGTTAAGTAAGGACTATCTCTTCAGAACCATTGCTAGAAGTTGTTGGAATATAGACTATTTTCAAATTTCAAGGGGTCAGTCAAATTGATTGATAAAGTATATCTGATGCCACTACCTCTAAATAAATAGCTTTTGCTGATAAAGTAGTATGCTTTTTAAATATTATATAAAAAAAAACCCTCTGAATTATTTACACTCTATTAATTTTAGGTATTATTATAAGATTTTTTTTCCCTAGGAATAGAAGCTTATAAGATTTTAAGATATGCTTAATTTTCTATATAGCTCCACCAAGTATGTTGGTGAAGGATGAATATGTACATGACTTTGAGGGACAGCCATCATTATCCACTGAAGGGCATTCAATTCAAACCATCCAGCATCCCCCAAGTAATCGTGCATCAACGGAGACATACAGCACCCCAGCTCTGCTAGCTCCATCCGAGTCTAATGCTGCCAGCACCACCAACTTTCCCAACATTCCTGTGGCTTCCACAAGTGAGTTGTAGAATCAGATGTAGTCAGCAGTTGAATTTCCTTAACCATTGAATATTTACATTTAGTCACTTGGAGGAAAACTCCAAATAAGTAATAATTAAAAAGTACTATGGTATCTTTTCTAAAAATGTGTTTTTATTAATTTTAGAGAGAGGAAGGAAGAAGGAGAGAGAGAGAAACATCAGTGATGAGAGAGAATCATTGATGGGCTGCTTCCTGCATACCCACTACTAAGGATCAAGCCCACAACGGGCATGTACCTTGACCAGGAATCAAATCATGACTTTCTGGTTTATAGGTCATTGCTCAACCACTGAGCAATACCGGCTGGACTGTACAATGGTATCTTTCATTGGTAAATAGGTATTAAATAGGTTGTTGGATTGATCCTGGAAAATACGGTTTGCAGTTTACTTAAATATTTTTATGTTGATGTATAGTCACTTGGAAGTTAAGTAGTGGCTTTGATTATTAGATTTAAATTAGTGCTCTAATTTGTACTTATCTACTATTACATGCAGAAGTAAGAAGCCTCTTGAGCTATCAGATACTTTTTGAGAAATAGTTAAGTAGTTAATAAGTTGTTTTAAACCAACATGTTTATAAAAATCTGTGGTAATGGAATTGCGAGCTTTTCTTTAATCAGTGTTCTTCTTTTGATTTATCTGGCAGACTATTGCTTTATAATAGTCATCTCAGTCTCCCAATGTGTAAACTTAGAAGAAGGTATCTTGACAAACTAATATTTCTCAAGATAAATGTTAAGTATTTTAGTTGATTTTAAAATAAAGCTAAATTCTGTGTTTTTCAAGTAAGAAGTCTTATTTCAGAAAGGTTTTTCCCATAATAGAGGTGCCAGCTTCTCTGGCACAGGGCTATTAGATTCAACTTTTCTCGGGCCTGATGAAGGCAATCATGACTACTGTTATTTATTTTTACAGTTACAGATGTCTGGACAATTCGCTGCTTGGAATAGCTTTGTAAAATTAATCACAGAGCAGGTTGTTGGCATGTATATGTTATTTGCACCTGGTTGCTAAGGAGATTGTATCTAAGCCCACATCAGCACTAGATGTTAATAGATTTGGACTGATACTTTGTTGGCCCGTACCAAAGGGAGCATTATTCTATTTTCTTTAATATCAGATCAGATCTAATATATAAATTTGACCTTTGGAATACAGAGAACTGATTTATATAATTGAGTTTTTGAGAAAAGCATACCAACTTTTCCCCTCTTTAATTCATTTTACCTCTTCAGAGCAGTATTTTTGGGATTTGCTACATGAGATGAATACTTACAGTGTTTATATGAAAACATGTGAGTCTATAACCACTTGGTGTTTCTGTTCTCTCTCATACATATATCTATCTATCTATCTATCTATCTGTATATATGTATTACATATACATATATAGATATATGTGTAAAAGAGGTCTGATGCATGGATTCGTGCACATCCAAAGGAAATTAATTAGAAAGTGGCTGGCGGGGCAGGACTGGGCTGAGATATGCTGGACAAGCCCTGGAGCCAACCTCCCGCAGTCTCTCCCCAGCCAGCTACATTTAGGACAGCGCCAGAGCTCGAAGGGCATCTGCAGAGTGAGCCAGGCCCCTCCAGCAGGTGGGGTCCCTCATCCTGACCTGCGGATTGGGCTGAAACCAGCAGTCCGACATCCCCGAGGGGGCCTGGAGTGCAAGAGGGCACTCTGCAAAGTTGTTGCTTAGTAGCTCCTGTGTTTAGTGTCTGCCCCCTAGTGGTCAGTGTGCATCATACCTACTGGCTGGTCAGCCAGTTGGCCGGTCACTTAGCCTTTTATATATAGAAATTTTTTAAATTAAAAAAAAAAAATGATTTCAGAGAGAAGGGGAGAGGGAGAGGTAGAAACATCAGTGATGAGAGAACCATTGATTGGCTGCTGCTGCAATCTTTTCCCAGCAAGGTTTCAGGAATCTGGAGAAGGGCTATACATAAATGAATAGAGACTAGACAAAAAATATAAATTTGGAAAGCATTGGGGGAGCCAGGTGGAGGCCTCACCCTCTAGTGAAGTGGGCTCCCCAAATCTCCAGGCACAGGGCTTTTTATTTACTTGAAAACACACGGGCCCTTTAGGAATGCAAAAGGCATATCAAAGGTAAAGTTTGGTAAACAGGAAAAGATTATCAGGTTAGGGGAATTACCTATTTGCAGCAGGTAATAATATGCAGATTTTCAGCCCTGCTGAAAATGTCCATCAGCCTTCTCACATTTATTATGCTAACTAGAGCTCTTAGCCTCCAGCAGCCTGCCTCCTGTACACCCAACACTGGGATCGAGCCTGCTACCTAGGCATATGCCCTGACTGGGAATCGAATCATGACCTCCTGGTTCATAGCTCGATATTCAACCACTGAGCCACACCAGCCAGGTTGCCTACTCTTTATTTACCAGTTTGGGAACATAGTTGACAAAGAGAATGGGTAGTGATGGAGAATTAAAGAATACTTTACAGTATAGATTAGTGCTAGAGCACAGATACTAACCTCTGTTGATAGTATCTAGAGGTTGAATTGCGTGCCTTTGTTGATGCCTGCTAAAATGACTTCATTTTAAACTGGGGCTGAGTCCTATGAAGATTAGACAATAATTATGACATTTCAGTGCTTTAGAAATGAGACAAACAGTTGACTTAATGCTTGTTTGGAGAAATCAAGTTTTTTTCCCCACTTAAAAAAAAAAAAAAAGACCTTAAAAATGTAGGCCAGTAAGGAATGGTTTTTAATTGAATAGAAGCCAAAGGAAGCTTAGTCGTCTTTGTTACATACAGAGAGAGCAATTAGTTTCCTGTAATTTCAGGAGTGTGATAATGTTCTTGGAAAGAGATGATTCTTGGTTTTTAAAAGTACATGACAAAATTTCAAAGAAGACTGATAGGGTGATAGTTTTGTTTTGTTTTATTTAAACTAGCAATCATACTATAACAAACAGTGGAGCTTGAAATTTATTTTAATTTTCTCACCTTATCCATCACATTTCATTTAAAATATTTGCCTGATCTGCTTTTCTCTTATCAAACCCTAGCATTCTATTATTACCAGTACCAGAGCTGATAATAATGAACTTTCCAGTCATCAACATTTACTTAAGCCTGAAATTTTGGAGTCCTAATCAGAAAGGTCCAGAACTGAATGGAGTGGCCGGTGAACTGATATGCTTTTGAAGAAGTTAGTGTGATAGGCTAGACATATAGTGGGATTTTTCTGAAATTTGAAGAATATTGTGAAGAAATAGGCCACTAAAATTAGCTAGCCATTATTTAAGATACGGTGATTTTGAACTTCTTCAGGTTAATGTTTGCCCTTATAGAGGACTTTCGGATTTTTTATTTGCGAGGTCATGAATGAGTTCATTTTTGCTCATTTTTATAGTTGTGACTGTCATGTAATTTGGTCCTTCAGTTACTGTATAAAACCATAGGATTTCATCTATAAATGTGCCATCTTAATGTCTTCTTGTTCCTCTAGGTCAGCCTCCCAGTATACTGGCAGGCAGCCATAGTGAAGGATTGTTGCAGATAGCTTCAGGGCCTCAGCCAGGACAGCAGCAGAATGGATTTACTGGTCAGCCAGCTACTTACCATCATAGTATGTACATGCTTTTTAAAATATTTTAAGTAGTTGAGAAGAACTAGGCAGACTTTTTAAGAGCAAATTAATCCATATGGGCCTTAATTTTTAGACAGCACTACCACCTGGACTGGAAGTAGGACCGCACCATACACACCTAATTTGCCTCACCACCAAAACGGCCATCTTCAGCACCACCCGCCTATGCCGCCCCATCCCGGACATTACTGTAAGCTCTTGTTTTTGTTGTAAGGGCCTTTTCTTTTTGAGGACTTTTTTTTTTTCTCTTCCCATATAAAAACTGTTTTTCATCTTTTATTCACTTTACAATTTAGTTTTATTAAATGATTAGAGTTTTTCAGTATTTTTTGTAAACATTATTTTTTTAACTGTTATCATACCTTTGTTTTAGAGGAGTAATGTTTACCAAATATATTTATATTTCCGTTGCTAATGTTTCATTAACACCACATTGATTTCCATTCATTTGTTTGTTTGCTTTGTGCATGTTCTTAGATCTCATGTGTATTTGTATATTCACCCCCAAGTTGATTGAAACCCTTTTAGTGTCAAGATCTTAAGGTTTCCCTCACTGTAGTATTTAGCATACCATAGCATAGATACTCTGATGTGGAACCCATCATTGCTCTGCAGGCTTGATTGGGAGGGATACCCTACTGATTAACCATAGCTTGTAGTTTCAGGCAGAAGAGGAACTTTGTTCTTTTGACTTAGTAAAATCAATAGTATAAATCTTTATATGTATTAAATCTTTTTCCCACGAATATAAGGTTAATAGTCCCAAAGAACACTTAAAAAATATAGAAGTGTTTAAATAAGAATCCTACTATCCAGAGATAACCACTTGTAATACTTCGTCATGTTTTCCTTCCAGTCATATAAATGGGTATATATAAATCTGGGGGGAGGAGGAGATCATATTGTGTATATTGTTTTATCCTATTTTTTTTTCAGTTACGTTATTGTTTTTTGATGTCTTAAGAGAATATAATTTTTAATGGCTGCTGGGCCAGCATAGTGGTTAAGGGTGCTGAATTTGGACCCTTAACTGGCTGTGTGACCTTGGCAAATTATTTAATCTCCTTAAGCCTTAAGTGTAACAGTAGTAATTAATAGTATCTGACCCAACGTTGTAAGAAATAAATGTAATAATGCATATGAGATGTCTAGCACAATGTCTTAACACATAAAAATCTGTCAATTAGGTTAGCTACTCTTCCATTTTGGAAATAGCCTTAATAAGCCATAAACACTTGATTTTAGAATGGACCGAACAATTTAAATTATTACAAATTACATTATAAATTATACTATATTATATGTTACATGAATAATTTATAATTTACATTAATTTTTGCATGTACAACTATTATGAATTGCTTAACAACACTTGGCATATAGCACTAAATATTAGCTATTAAATATAAAAGTAATTCAAGAGTATTTGCTTATTATAATTATGAAGTAATGTAAATTAAACTTTTAAGTTCTTAGACATTGCAGAAACTTGATCCAAACAGCTCCTAAGGTATGATAGTTATATTTAAATAAGGTATTTAAAATTTTTTAATATTAGTGAACTTTTAATAAATAAAATTGGGATTTCTATTATCTTTTCTTTAGGGCCAGTTCACAATGAGCTTGCATTCCAGCCTCCCATTTCAAATCATCCTGGTAAGTGTATTTTAAAATTGATTCCCTATAATTAGATTTTCTTTATGGTAATAGAAACACACAAACACACAGGTTTTAATGTAATAACATAGTAATTTAAGGTTTAGATAAATACAGTTCTCATTATAGCATTAGTTAATAGTTTATGAGTAACCGTTATAGTCACACAAATTGTTTCTCTATTTTTTTAACTGTCTCTGAGAAAAGATAAGAGCTGTTTTCAACTAAAATATAAAACACCAAAGTGCTGATTTTAGCACTGAATATATAAATATTCAGCAGAAGAAACTGGGTTTCAAATAGAACACAATGTAAAATTGTCACTTAAAATGCTAGGGAAGCCTTAGCCGGTTTGGCTTAGTGGATAGAACATCAGCCTGTGGACTGAAAGGTCCCAGGTTCTATTTTGGTCCAGGGCACTTGCCCCGATTGCAGGCGCGATCTCCAGTGAGGGGCATGCAGGAAGAAGCCGATCAATAATTTTCTCATTATTGATGTTTCTATCTCTCTCTCCACCTTCCTCTCTGATTAAAAATAATAATAAAAATAAAATTTTAAAAAAGCTAGGGAAGGATCTGAAGTAGATGCTGAAAAGAAAAATAAGTCACTATATCTGTCTTGGAAGATTCAGGAATCTCTGGCTAATTGAAATGTAAAAACGGATTAAATTATACTCAAAAGAGAGCATAGCTAAGTAGATTTTCTCAGTTCATAGTTTGAATATAACTTTTTAAGTTATAGAAATGATAAAACAGAAGTTTAGAAGTAAAATAATGAAGGCTTCTTAACATATAAACATAGGATTTTGATTTTTCTTTCCTCTATCCCTTCATAACTGTTTTTCTTATAAAAAGATGCAAAATATAGCATTTTAACTCATCTCCTTAATTTTCACCCTAATTTAAAAATGTTTTATTATAAAGGATTTCCAACATACATCAAATACCAGAATAATATGGGAGATCCCGCCCTCATTGTACTCATCCCTCAGTTTTAGCTATTAACAACTAATGGCCAGCCTTGCTTCATTCATATCCCCCTATTCTCATTCATACCCTCATCTATTATTCTGAAGAAAATCCTATATAGTCATCTTATTTATTTATTTTAATATATTTTTATTGATTTCAGAGAAGGAAAAAGAAGAGAGAAATAGAAATGTCATTGATGAGAGAATCATCCATTGGCTGCCTCCTGCACATCTCCCACTAGGGATTGGGCCCGCAACCCGGGCATGTGCCCCGACCTGGAATTGAACCATGACTTCCCAGTTCATAGGTCATTGCTCAACCACTGAGCCACGCCAGTGGGGCTATGGTCATTTTATATGTAAATACTTTAAGATATATTTCTAAAAAAGATTTTTTTAAAAGATGACTATAGTAACCATAATGATTAATTTAAAGGATAACATAGTTTCTCAAATAGATCTGTATCATTTTCTTAAACAATGTTTTATTATTTATTATTTATTATTTATGTTGGTTCCATTTATTCTTCTGGCTATTAAACAAAACATTAAGGTTAAGATTTTGATGCTTATAACTCTTCAGTTTAAGACATTTGAAGAATTTCTGGATCAGAAGTCCAAATTGATTTACACATTAGAGTATGAAGAGCACTTTTACCATGCTCACCAGGATTAAGTGTGATAGTTTAGTAAATGCTGATTTAGGATGCAAATAATATTTATTTTGATTTGGAGAAATATTATGATTCAAAAAATTTTCAGACTTTTTTTAACATATGTATTAGTTATTAACTGTAGTGGATTTTTTATATGTTCTAAACATTTTTATGGGTCAAGGGGTCTTATCTTTATATACACTTTATATATAGAGGCAAGGGACTTGGCCCCTGCCACGGTGGCAGTTGCCTCTGCCTTGGCCCCCACCAACCACGGCTTCGTCTGGTCTAATTAGCATATTATGCTTTTATTATTATAGGTTTTTTAAAATATGCATATTTTATTGATTTTTTTACAGAGAAGAAGGGAGAGGGATAGAGAGTTAGAAACATCGATGAGAGAGAAACATCAATCAGCTGCCTCCTGCACACCTTCTATTGGGGATGTGCATCCAGCCAAGGTACATGCTCTTGACTGGAATCGAACCTGGGACCCTTCAGTCTGCAGGCTGATGCTCTAGTCACTGAGCCAAACCAGTTAGGGCTATTATTATAGAGTTTTATTGGGACATGTAATTAATAGAAAAGTATATAAAACATACAATCTAATGAATAACATTAAAGCCAATACCTGTATAAGCACCACCCAGATTTAAAATAAAACATTGCAGCATCCCCAGAAACTTTCCTACCTAAGGCATTTTCTTTGTCAAAAACGTTTCCTCCCCTACCCCAGCGGTAACCACAATCCTACTTTTTCTAATATTACTAGAGGCCCAGTGCATGAAATTCATGCACTTGGGGAGGGAGAGAAGTCCCTCAGCCTGGATGTGAGAGGACGCAGGCCAGGCTGAGGGACCCCCACCAGTGCATGATCAGGGCCAGGGAAGGATGCAGGATGTTGGCAAGCTGGGGAAGGACTGTGGGAGGGCTCCAGGGTGTATCTGGCCCATCTCGCTCAGTCCTGATCTGCTGGACCCCAGCAGCAAACTAATTTACAGGTTGGAGCATCTGCCCTCTGGTGGTCAGTGTACATCATAGCAAGTAGTTGAGCAGCTTTAGTATGTCCTATCTAATTGAATAGTAATATGCAAATTGACCACACCTCCGCCACACACAAGGCATGCCCACCAGCCATTCAGAAGCGAGTATGCAAATTAACCCAACCAAGATGGGTGTGGCTGGTTTTTTCCTTATCTGGGCCTGGAGCTGAAATACAAGGAGTGATGGCGTCTTCTCAGGCCGGGTCGAGCGGGCATATGCCTTGGAATCTGGGAGCAGGCAAGTCACCTGGCACCAAATGTACTATAGGCTGTGGGAACAGCACGGTGTCTGACCCCTGAGGTCAGACCAAACCTGGGTGCTTGGATTCTGGCTGGGTTGGGGGTGAGGCAGAGAGAGAGGGCAGGGAAAGGCCTGGGCCTGCATTGAGTAGGCTTCCAGTCATATTGCCCTTCTCCTCACCATTTAATATCTACTACACTCAGCCTTATGCAAGGGTATATTTATTGGTTGTAAAGAGGGAAGGAGGGAGAGAGAGAGAGAAACATCAATATGGGAGAAAAACTTAGATCAGTTGCATCTTGTACACGCCCAGAGAGACTAAGGATTGAACTTCAAACCTAGGCATGTGCCCTGACCCCCAGACCTGTCAGTGTATGACACACCAACTGAGCCACACTGGCTAGGGTGATAGGACCTTTATCCTACATAATAAAAGGCTAATATGCAAACCAACCTAATGGCAGAATGACCAGTTGCTATGGCGCACACTGACCACAAAGGGGGAGACACTCAATGCAGGAGCTGCCCCCTGGTGTTCATTTTGCTCCCACAGGGGGAACGCCAGTCAGTCAGAATCCTTGAGCCTGCCTCAAGGCTGCTGAGTGCAGTGGTGATGGTGGGAAACTCTCTCCCTTTTGACAGCGCTAAGGATATACCACTGTCGAGCCCAGCTGTTGGTTGGCATTTCCTGAGGGCTCCTGGACTGCAGGAGGGTGCAGGCAAGGCTGAGGGGACCTCCTCTAAATGCACAAATTTCGTGCATCGGACCTCTAGTGTGTTCATAAAAGATTCTCACAGAACATCTCATTCAAAGCTAAATAATATAAAGAATAATTCATAATGAATCTTTCAGGTTCTTTATCCAAGTTTCTAACTAAAAAAAGTTAACCAAATTTAAAAATATTTTCTTGAATGACATGATTTCAGAAATTAAAGATAATACCTTGAAGATGTACATTTTCCATTGAACAGCATTTATTTGATAAAGCTATGCTTTATGCTTCTCATTACAACACACAATTTAGCTAAGTTCTTACATTGTGAGAAAAGTTTCATGTTGTTAACTCAGCCTTTTACAACCTTTTCTCTGGCCAACTTCACTCATTTGGGAACAAGACACAGAGTATCTATGGTTGGTACATTGAGCAGAGAACAGCCCACTTCCTTTGAAACGAGTTGGGGCATTCAGCAAGTGCTCTCCGACTGAGTGATCTCAGCCTGCGGTGATGGGAATGATGGGAAGCTGCAGGTTTGGCACTGAAATGGCCTTTGGTTCTTGGAGCAAAATGAGCAAAGAGAAGTTCAGAAAGGCCTCATGAACTTAATGAACTCATAGGACCTGCTCATAGGGAACGTGAGAATGTTCCCTCTGGTCTGGTTAGCACCTTGGGAGTGGAACAGACAAGTTCTCACACTGCCAAGGTCCCTGGAATCCATTTAGATGACCTCTGGCCCTCTGTGCTCACTGCCAGTGACCCCTTCCTCCTGCTTGCTTAGGCCTCATGCCCTCTTCATAACAGATGCTCAGTTTTCCTTCCTGGTCTGTGGTCCTCCTCTCCTTCCCAGCCGAGCGGATCAGCTGTTCAGAGAGTAGCTTCACGTAACATCCTGGCTGTATGGTGTCTGAAATATTAGGGAAACAGACAAAACAGCCTTGGTGAATGGAAGAGAATTAAATAAGGTGTAAGTGCAAGTACAGACATTGCAGTTCATGATAACAGTATGTTTTTTAATGTAAACAAGAAGATTTTACAACTCCTTTTCCCCAGCCTGAATCGACTCATGAAAAACATTGCTCGCTGTGGAACTTTCCTTCTAGATAGTGTTCTTCAGTGTGAACTAGGAGAGGCATGTATTTGCACCTTGTTTTTTTACTCCCATTGGAAACTCATGACTTCAGGGCATTGTTTGTACTGTTTGGACTCATTGTGTGAAGACTCTGTTCAGTGCTCTCGGTGGTTTCAGCTGCCAGGGCACACGGGCGCTTGGCATGTTGGCTTCGATAACCTCTGGTTTATTAGCTCCACACAGCCTCCCAGCCAGGTGTTTGTGAGGTTTCTTGTTCAAAGCAGAACGTGGTGTCTTGACTGAAGAATTTTACTCTAAGGAATAACTTCATAAATATTTCAGAATGGGATTTTTAATAAGGCATTTGATGTCACTAGTTTTCCTGTTGTAATGAGAATAAAAAAATATTTAAAGGAATGTTTATATTCATGATTAGTTGATTTGAGAAAACATGAATTTTAATTTTTGTATCTTCACGGTCCATTTTATTCTTTATTAGAAAGTATTTTCTTTCTTGGTAACATTTAGAAGATCAATTAGATGCATAAAATACAGGTTTTTTAAAAATGTATTTTAAGCATCAATTATACTTCATTTTAAGGTTTTTTTGAGACAGGGTTGAAAAGATCTATTTTTCTATTCTTTCAGATTGTTAAGAGTTTTGTTGCTTCTTCTCCTAGTCCAGTCAGAGTTCATAAGTGACATGATGACGTGCAGATAAGTAATTGGTTTGTCAGCAGAAACTTGACAAACCCAACCTGTCCCCCAAATCATTCACAGTTATTTTAAACCATTTGTTGTTGTTCAAATGAACACACTAAATGCATCTTCAGCGTTAAAATCATAGTGGCAAACATGACTTGCCTTCACTAAGTGATACAACAAATGACCTTTCAGCCAAGAGAGGATTGAGCATTGCCGCTCACAGCAGCTATCTAGTTAGAGTGCAATTAACCTTTACTGGTCGGAATGAATGGCTGACTAGCTTGGGTTCTTACACTCAATTAGGGAACTAGAAAAATATGCTATGGGTTGATGTTTTCGATAATATTCCTCAGAGTATGTCTTAAAGTCAGTGTGTTTAGAAAAAGAAAAGTTTAGTCTGCCTTAATGGTTAGATCATTGTCCACATACACCATGGCTACAGGTTTGGTCCCCTGTCAGGACACATGCAAGAATCAACCAATGAATGCATAAATATAAGAGGAGCAACAAATTAGTCTCTTTCTCTCGCTTTCTCTCTCAAAATCAATTTTAAAACTTAAAAAAAATATGTGAAATGAAATGCCATAGTAAAATAATTTATTTTCTGTCCTGATTACGGTTGTTCTTTGAATTTCCAGATTTAAAAAATGACTAGAGTTTTAAGAATGCTAGGCCCTGAGCTGAAAAATAGAATACAGGAAAATGCCTAGATATTTCAAGCATCATTTTATCCAATTCTTTTGGGTGCTTTCAGATTCCTCTTCTGTTCCTTCAGCCTGTATTTGAGGAACAGCTTTGCCTTATGGAGTGATGTTTGCTCCCATTTGTCTCCTGTAGCTCCTGAGTATTGGTGTTCCATCGCTTACTTTGAAATGGATGTTCAAGTAGGAGAGACATTTAAGGTTCCTTCCAGCTGCCCTATTGTTACTGTTGATGGATATGTGGACCCTTCTGGAGGAGATCGCTTTTGCTTGGGTCAACTCTCCAATGTCCACAGGACAGAAGCCATTGAGAGAGCAAGGTATTGATTGTATAGGTATTTTACAAGTTGAATACCCTATATTGTCTTTTTAGTCAGTTATATTTCTCAGTGTAGATAATGTGAATTCATTCCACTAGGAAAAAAGAAGTAAAGGTCATTTTGAAAATTCAGAATCAGTAAGCATTCCACTTGTATTATAGATGTTTGTTATTTAAAATATTAAAAAAGATATTTTTAAAAACTTATTTTTTAAATTTATATACAATTGGTATACAATCTTATCTTGGTTATATCAGTTTCAGGTGTACAATGTAGTGACCCGACATTTTTATACCTTACAATTTGATTACCCCACTAATTCTAGTAATCAATTATGTCAAATATCACAATATTAACTAAATTCCCATTCCTTTTTTCACTCATCCTTCTATTCCTTCCTTTCTGGTAACTATCCTATTGATCTCTATTTCTACGAATCTGTTTTTATTTTATTTTTCAATTCCTCATATAAGTGAAACCATAACTATCTTTGTCTTTTCTGCCTGACTTATTTTACTTAGCATAATACCCATGTTGAAAAAATGACAAGGTTTTATTCCTTTTTGTTGCTACATAATATTCTATTGTGCCAAAAAATGGAATCTTTAGGATTCTGTTTGTAAGTAATGTTCCTATTTTGAATAGTAACAAGACCATATTTTCTATACATCTATTTGAAGGAAATTATATAAAATGAGGGCTCTGCATGTGTTATTTATAATGTTGGAAAACAATGCAAAGGAAGTGGTTGAGTAAATTTTGATAAACTTATTTTTATGTAGTTATTAAAATGTTAATAAAATTTTACCTAATAATAGACAAACATGTAAATTGACTATTGATATATTTCCACTATGCCTATAGCCAATCAGAGTGACTATGCAAATTAACACCAAAAAGATAGCGGTTAATTTGCATACAAGGGAGCTCAGGGCCTGTGTCCCAGGAACATCCTGGCACCCAGATCACTGTGAGGTAAGGCGGAGCGGACCCCCTGCCATCGGTCGCAGAGAGCTGGGGGTCGCTTCGGCCTGGTGCAGAAGCAGACCCCTTGGATCGATCGCAGTGAGCTGGGAGTTCGTTCCTGCCCAAGAGGCTTTCGGCCTGGGCAGGGGCTGAGCCGGTGATCAGAGGGAGCTGGAGGGGTCCTGCCCAGGCCTAAAGCTTTGGCCAGAGGCTTTATGCCTGAGCAGGGCCCAGCCCTTGATTGACGTGAACTACAAGGAAACACCTTTTCTGACTGCTCATTGGTAAGCTTCCTGTATGCCACTGGTAATATTCTTAGTAACTTGGGTAATAAGAATCCAAAAAAGGTGATCTAAGGTTTTACCACCACACTTATGGAGAAAAAAATGAAGGTCCACTGCTGGAGGGCTAAGAAATGTCATATCCTGCCCTAGGCAGTTTGGCTCACTGGATAATGCCTCAGCCTGCAGACAGCAGGGTTTGAGTTCAATTCTGATCTAGGGCATGTACCTAGGTTGCAGGCTCCTTCCGGCCCAGGGCCCAGATCAGGGCTCATGCAGGAAGCAACCAAAGTGTTCCTCTCATTTTGAAGTTTCTCTCTGTCTTACCCTTTCTCTTCCACATTCTCTAAAAGTCAATGGAAACATCCTCAGGTGAGGATTAAAAAAATAATAATAAAGAAATGCATATCCTATGAAAGACATCTTGAAAATGCCTAAAGAAAGTTGTCATTTTTTCTTGGTGAAGGGACTGGAGTCCGTGTTGATGAAAACACCTTGGTGACTGTGGTGACTGGCAGTGGCTGCAGCAGCAGGGTGATGGGGCTGGTGCCTCCCCTGATCAGCAGGTTGCCTCCCACAAAGGGAGGCCAGACTACAGCTTAGGCCCGCTCCCTGTGGGGTGGGGGCCTAAGACATCAGTAGGGCATCCCCTGAGGGCTCCCAGTATATGAGAGGGGCAGGTTGGGCTGAGGGACCCCCACTCCAAGTACACGAATTTCGTGCACCGGGCCCCTAGTGTTTATATAATCAAATGTAAATGCTTAAGATGAAATATTATAGGAAAACATACACAGTGGTTGGGTACTTTGTAATCTCAACTCTAAGAAAATGTGTATGTGTGTAAATACAGAATCTTGGCTCTATTGCTAACTGTGTGTCTTTGGCAAATCACCTGGTCTCTAAGCCAGTGCAGTCTAAGAAATGTCTGTGATGAAGGGAATGGTTTGTATCTGTGTTGTCCAGCACTGCACCACTAGCCATGTGTAACCGTTGAGCACTTAAGATATAGTCATGTGATTAACTGAGTTTTTAAATTATTTATTTATTTATTTAAATATTTTTTATTGATTTTGTACAGAGAGGAAGGGAGAGAGAGAGAGAGTTAGAAACATCCGATGAGAGAGAGTCATCATCAGCTGCCTCTTGCACACCCCCTACTGGGGATATGCCCGCAACCAAGGTACATGCCCTTGATTGGAATCGAACCCGGGACCTTTCAGTCCCCAAGCCGACGCTCTATCCATTGAGCCAAACCGGTTTCGGCTAAATTATTTAAAAAAATATATATTTTATTGATTTTAACAGAGAGGAAGGGAGAGGGAGAGAGAGTTAGAAACATCCATGAGAGAGAAACATCAATCAGTTGCCTCCTGCACACTCCCTACTGGAAATGTACCTGCAACCAAGTACATGCCCTTGACCAGAATCGAACCTGGGACCCTTCAGTCCACAGGCCGATGCTCTATCCACTGAGCCAAACTAGTTAGGGCTAAATTAATTTTAATTAAATTAAATAGCCACGTATAGTAGCTAGTGGCTATCAGTTTGGACAGTAACTATAAGCCTTAGTTTAGTCATTTATAAAATAATAATATTTAGGTCATGGAATTGTGAGAATTATGTTAAATATTTCTAAGTATTTCATATATATATATTTACATACACATCATTTTTATATATGAATAAGACGTTTAAAAAGGAAGGAAATATACAAAAAATTAACAATGGCGACCTTTTGGTGTGGTGTTACATAAAGTCCTTTTAAAGTTCTTTTTAATTTTTCAGTATTGGGTATTCTAATATCTATTTTTTAATACTTATCAAAGTAAAATATAATTTCCTTTTTCTCCCAAAGGTTGCACATAGGCAAAGGTGTACAATTGGAATGTAAAGGTGAAGGTGACGTTTGGGTCAGGTGCCTCAGTGACCATGCAGTCTTTGTACAGAGTTACTACTTAGACAGAGAAGCTGGACGTGCACCTGGAGATGCTGTTCATAAAATCTACCCAAGTGCGTATATAAAGGTGAGTGGAAGTTCTCCTTAGATATAAGAATTGGGTTGGAGGAGGGAAGAGAAAAAAATGTCTTTTTATGTATTAAGTCTCAGAAATTATGTTGTTTTTAAAACACATTTTTGGGGGGCATTTATTGACATGGCGGGTTATCTTGTTTTGTGATTACACTCATGCCCTATTATTTTAATAGCAAATTTGTTAAACATTTTAGAGTAATACACAGACTCTAAAAACATTTGAGTGAAAACCAACAACCATATTCTTTAGTTGAAAACTTGTAAGACTTTGGAGTTCCATCTTAGCCAATCTTTAGAATTTTATGACAGGAAATTCTAATGTTGTTTTTTGAGTTAAAAACCTGAGAAATGAAAAATTCAATAGTAGGTTTCTTAAAGGTAGTTATTTTGGAATTAAACCAGTTATTTACTTTGTCATTTTTCAAATTAGCCAAGGTATTTTTTATTAATTATTACATAGTCAACTCATTTTACTTCGATAACAACCACTGCTTGAAAGAGAAATATTATTATAATGAGATAGCCTAAATATATATGCATATATATATTTTAAATATTTTAATGTTAGAGAGGAAGAGAGAGAAAAAGAAGCATTGATGTGAGAGAGAAACAGATGGCTGCCTTCTGCAGGTGCCCTACCCAGGAATTGAACCCATGCCCCTCCAGGACACAGGATGATGCTCATCCAGCTGAGCCTCGCTGGCCAGGGCTTAGTTTTTGTTTTCACTCCCTGTCATGGTTTCTCCCTTTGAAACCATTCTGCCTGAGGCTGGCACCCAGGGATCCAGTCTCAGAGCCAGCTTTTCCATTTAGAAGGTAGAGGAGTTGCACCCTTTGAGGAAGCTGAGTTCCAATCCCCTGGGTCCAGTCCTCAGGGCCTGAGTCCTGTGGCAGAGGTTTTTCTGATGCTCACCTCTGCCCTGGGCGAGAATCTGCCTGGGTGCTTTCTGGGTTAGCTGTAAGGCATTTCGCCAGCCTTTGACTCATGGGCAGGTGCCCACTGATAGACCCCAGAGTGCCTGGCTATTGTCTCTTTCCATTTTATTCTAAGAAGCAGACTTCTGTCCTCTGCACCTACCGTTTGTGGTCCTGGGACCCCAAGGTCTTTAGCCCTGCTGTCCACTGTGGATTTGTCCATCAGCATTGGATGGACTATGGGTTGTTTCCACTTGTTGGCTACTAGGAATAATGCTGCTATGAGCATTCATATTGGAGTTTTTTAGGCAGATGTGTGTGTTCATTTTGTTGGATATATAAGTAGGAGTGGAATTGCAGGATCATAGGCAACTCTATGCTTAACTTTTTGAGGGACGACAGACTGTTTTCAAAAGTGGCCATGCCCTTTTACATTTCCACCAGCAATGTACTAGGTGTACCGGTTAATAATGGCAAATTTTATAATCAAAGAAAACACGATAATTTCAAGAAAAACATCAAAAGTGCTTTATTCAAAGTAATGTCCATCGCTAGCTACACATTTCCCCATCTTTCAGGTAATTTGTGGATACCGTCCCAATAGAACTTTTCTTGTTTTGAGACAAACCATTCAGAGACCCAATTTTCCACTTCTTCGTATGTTTTGAAGTGCTGCTCAGAAAGTACGTGTGCCATCGATTGGAACAAGTGGTAATCTGAAGGAGCAAGGTCTGGTGAATACAGCGGGTGGGTTAATACTTCCCAGGCAAGATCTTTTAATGTGTCTTTAACTGGTTTTGAAGTGTGTGATGGTGCATCATCATGAAGCAAAATTATTTTGCCGTGTCACATCCTGGTCGTTTCAAAGCATGGTTCAAATTGATTATTTGTTTTTGGTAGCAATCAGTGTTAATGGTTTCACCTGGTTTTAGAAGCTCATCATGCACCACACCTTCCTGATCCCACCAAACGCAGAGCATTGTCTTCTTTCCGAAGCCACTTGGCCTTGCAGTTGATGTTGATGGTTGACCTGGATCAACCCATGATTTTGTGCATTTGGAATTCTCAAACTAAATCTACTTTTCATTGCCAGTCATAATTTGATGCAAAAAAGACTTTTGTGCTGTTGAAGCAACATTTTACTGATGACTTTGGTTTTCCATTTGTCTTTTGTTCAATTGATGTGGCACCCATTTTCCTTCCTTCAAAATCTTTCCCATTGCTTGTAAACAATCAGGAATTGTTTGCTGAGCAACATTTAACTTTCTGCAAGTTGTTTTTTGAGTTTGACACGCATCTTCATCCAATAATGCTTGTAATTGTTTTTCTTCCGGTTGACCTGGACGTCCTTTGTCTTTCACATCGAAATCATCACTTTTAAAGCATTAGAACCAGCATTCACAAGTATCTTGAGGTGGAGCATGTTCACCATAAGCTTCCCGAAGTATACATAACTTTTTTCTTCAAAATAATGAATTAAAATTTCCCACAAATCCTTTTTTTGGGGCACGAAATTCGACATTTTTAAGTGTAAAAATATCTATTATGTTAACACCTTCAGCAAATTTGACACAATAAATATGAAACTTGCTGTCAATGCAACAAAATGGCATACATATCAAATCGCATATATATCAACATATGTGTAACTCCATCTATTGAAAAAAATCCGTATTATTAACCGGTACAACTAATATATATGAAGGTTTCAATTCTCTATATGCTCATCGACACTGGTTATCCTTCTTATTTAGCCTTCCTAGTGGATGCGAAGTGGTATCTCATGGTGATTTTGATTTGCATTTCCCTAATATCTAATAATGTTGAATATCTCTTCAGGTGCTTATTGGTCATTCGTATATCTTCTTTGGAGAAATGTCTGTTTAGATCTTTTGTCCATTTTTTTTAAATTGGATTTTCTTTTTATTATTGAGTTGTAAGAGTTCTTTATATATTCTGGTATCACTCCCTTGTCTGATATATAATTTGAAAATCTTTTCTTCTTTTGTTTGGCTTGTCTTTCATTTTCTTGATATGATTTGCAATCCACACAAAAGTTGTTCAATTTGGTATCTTTGAGTTTATCTGTTCTTTGAATGGGTGTGTTTTTGGTGTCATATCTAAGAAACCATTGCCTACTCCAAGGTCCTGAAAATATATTACTCCTGTGTTTTGTCCTAAGATAGTTCTGGCTGTAAACTTAGGCCTGTTAGACATTTTTAGTGAATTTCTGTGCATAGTATAAGTCGGTTGATCCAGCTTCGTTCTTCTGCATGAGACTATTCAGTTGCTCCAGCAACCATTTGTCAAAAAGACTGTTTCCCTTATCAAATTATGTTGATACCCCTGTTGAAATTACATTGACCTTAAATATAAAGGCTTAATCCTATGTTATCAGTTGTATTTCATTGATCTGTGTGTCTATTCTTATGAGAGCACTTCTCTGCTTCAATTACTGTAGCTTTGCAGCAAGTTTTGAAATTGGGAAGTGTGAATTCTCTGGATTTGTTCTTTTTCAGGATTATTTTGGCTATTGCCACCTGTTGATATATCCACAGGAATTATATGACTGGTTTGGAGGATATCAATTTTTAAAAATATATTATTTGTTTCAGAGAGGGGGAGAGAGAAATATCCATGATGAGAGAGTCATTCATTGATTAGCTGCTTCTTCCCCTCCGCCCCACCCAGAACCCGGGCATGTCAAATCCTGACCTCCAGGTTCATAGTCAGCAACCACCGGCTACACCAGCCAGGCGAGCTTTTCAATTTTTAATAGTTTTTCTGTCTTTTGCATGTAAGTGGAGCAGAGAGAGAAGGTGGTTATGTATACCTTACTCCACCATCCTGACAGGAAGTCCTTGGGTTATTTGTCCTTTGAAGGGAATGAACAGAACAGGCAGTATTGAATATATATTATGTACCAGACAGCAGTTATTTTGCTCTTATGTAATAAAGTATGCATTTCTTAAAAATGCAGATTTAAAGAAATAAGGTGACAATGCTGGCTATCACTCCAAATAGCTGGAATGGTAAAGAAAAGAAGTAGGCTATATTACTCACCAAGGTCATCAATTCATTTGAAAGAAAACTTGTAGCAATTTGCTGTGAAAGGGAGGGGGTGATTTCTAAACTTTATTTTACACAAAGGGATTGTTTTTCACAGGGACAATAACGCTGACCCACACTGAATTAGATAAAAGATTCAGAGGCATGTAGCAACCACCACTGACCTGATGGTGAAATGTGTCACTTGGCCAGCTTTCCTATATATTACAGTACACATAAAAACTTAGGTTTTTCAGTTTAAGAGAGCTAAATAAAGCTGTACGTTTTAAATTAGTTGTGCATGGATTTTTGATGTACAGAACCTTTTCTGGTGGACTCATAACATTAAACCTGTCCTTTTTTAAAGGTCTTTGACTTGCGACAGTGTCATCGTCAGATGCAGCAGCAGGCGGCCACTGCACAAGCTGCAGCAGCTGCCCAGGCGGCAGCGGTGGCAGGAAACATCCCTGGCCCTGGGTCAGTAGGTGGAATAGCTCCAGCTATCAGTAAGTATGCTTTTGGTTTGTGTTGTTTTTTCACGTGTAGTAGCTGGCTTTTTATATTGATTCGCTTATTTGATTAGTTACTTTAAACAATAATAGAAATTAAAGTTTTTATTACTGGGATAATAACAATTTTGAATTTATAGAAAACTGTTCTTGTAATGTTTGTCCTTTGTCTAGGAACCCATTTTTATCCTTTTTGTGTCAAAAGGGAGCATGGGATAAAGAAGAAAAGAGTTTCTTATTATATTATTGGTCACCTCCCCCTTTTCTGTTGATGCTTTTAATTCCTGCCTCACCACCCAGGGTGGGTTGCTATCACTGACATGCTTGGCTTCATTCTAGAAGGAAAGCATTTTCCATTTCAGAATTAGGCACCTCCTGTTTTTGTATGTGTGTTATTTTTTTTTTTAACTACGCTAAGCATGGAGAGAAAACTAAGTGAGGGTGGTATTTTGATAACTTGTAGACTTTTTTTTAATTTTAGGGTAAAATTGAACTGTGTGCCAGGTTTCACACTGATGGGGAATTTTTTACTGCAGAGTTAAACTCCTGACTATAGACTTTTATGATGGAAACACGTGGCACCCATCTTCCACGTCTGAAGGCATAACTAGTGATTCATTCAACCCCTGTTCTTAACCTCTTCAGTGTGGTAAGCAAATCACACTGGCCAAGAAAGCTGCAGTGTCCCTGCAGGTTTCTCTACAGTACATGCAGATTCCTCCCACTAGTTTCATGTAATATTGATGAATGCAGACTGACTATATGACTGTATGTTCTGACTGGAAAATTAGATGCAGAGTCTCTATTATGACTGATATTCAGGAGTTTACAATTTAGAGATAGATAAGGCATATTCATTTTCAGAATTTGATTTTTTTAAAAAAATTCAGGCATCTAAACCATTCATTTGCTAGTTCTGATGCTATAAACATTCTTTTAGTGAAGAATCCAGAAATATTACAGTTCTCATTCTCATCAGTTGCCCATATTTGAGTAGCTGCATATTCTCTGTTACATTGTGAAATGGAGAGACATCGTCGGGGTCTTCCAAGAAGCTTTAATGGAACCAGGACTCTTAAGTGTTTCATTATTAGTCATGTCTTACTCTGAACCAGGCTGTTTAGATAGACAGGAGGTTTGCATGACCCATTCTGTGGACATGCACTACCCTTAAAGTCAAGTTGCTTCTTATCACCTCTATTCACCTCCATTTCTAAAGAGAAAAATTGGTGGGGTGTGGGTAGATTGCAGTACAAACTTACTTTCTAATTGCTGGTTAGGCATATGACTCAGGTGGAATGCAAATTGTCTGAACCAAAAGTTTTCGGCCCCTGTTGATAAAGTTTAGATTTGTACTTCTTGGCACTTGGACAGAGAATTATATGCTGGGGAGAGTGAATTACAGAGATCTGTCACTTTATTAATGTAAGATGGGGGGAGAATGGGAAGAGGTCAGCCTGTCCCCTGATGTCTTTCCAATCTTTCCTGTCAGGTTTGTCAGCTGCCGCTGGAATCGGAGTGGATGACCTGCGTCGCTTATGCATCCTCAGGATGAGCTTTGTGAAAGGCTGGGGACCGGATTACCCAAGACAGAGCATCAAGGAAACGCCCTGCTGGATTGAGATTCACTTACACCGGGCCCTCCAGCTCCTAGATGAAGTACTTCACACCATGCCTATTGCCGACCCACAACCTTTAGACTGAAATCCTTACTGTTGGAGCCCTTAACATTCATTGTCAGGATGGTGGACTAGAACATACAATCCTGTTTATAATCTGAAGATATATATCACTTTTGTTCTGCTTTATCTTTTCATAAAGGGTTGAAAACATATTTGCTGCCTTGCTCCTAGCAGACAGAAACTGGATTAAGACTTTTAAAAACAATTTTTTTTTTTTTCCTATTTAGAACTTTTCAGGCATAGCTCAGAAATTAAAGGTCAGGAAAAACACATTCTTATTAAATTTACTTCACCAGTTATGTATGAAGGAATCATTGCAATCCTGGAAAATTTAGCCCTTTAAAATGTCTTTCACCTTTTTCTATGCAGAACATTGGTATATGTGCTATTCTAAGGAGTAAACTCAATATTGCTGATTTTAAAGGCAGAGACGTTCTCAAAGTTAATTCACCTACGTTACTTTGTGTGCACGTTGTTATTGTTGAGCAGATTTTACTTCAAAATATTGTGCCATGTGGGTGAGTTAATGTTACCAAGAGCAACTTCACTCTGTGTTTAAAAAATAAGACAGTAATGTATTATAATCTTTTATCCAAAATATATTTTCTGCAAGTTATACTAGTGAAGATGATTTCAATTCAGATTGTCTTGCGACTTCTATTTTATTTTCACCAAGGCAAAACAGTAATCTCTGTGAATACTGAGAATTCCTTCAAATTATCAAAGAAACACCATTGACAAGTTCAATAGTTATCCCAGTTGGATAACGATTTCTCGAGTAGTATAATTTCCCCTGTTAAACAGTAGATGTAGTCTATAATTCCAGGCACAGGGTTGGCTACCAAGAAGCCTAGAAGAGCCATTTCTTTCCTTCATTAATTCACAGGGAAAGGTTTTGTATTTTTAAAAACACTAACAGCAGTGTCACTCCTCCAGCTCTCCATTCTGCAGAGGTGGCAGTGCTTAAAGTAAATGATGCGTATTTGGAAACTGCTAAGTTCTATGTCAGATCCTATGTGGACTAATGGAAACATTACAGCTCATAATAGGCAGTTTGGCTATTTTTATACTTGATTTGATGTGACTTCTTTTTCATATACTCTTTAAATCATGTATGTTATGACATTGTTTGAAATTCAGTTTTTGTATCTTGGGGCAAGACTGCAAACTTTTTATACCTTTTGGTTTTTCTAAGCCCTGTGCCATCAGTGATCATATCAATTGGCAGTGACTTTGTATAGAGAAGTTAAGTAGAAAAGTCGCAAATGTATTGACTGTACCACACACACAACATGTATGCTTTTTACTTAGCTAGTAGCATAAATAAAACCAAATCTCAACATACACAGTTGAATTCTAGGTTTGATTTTTAAGTTTTTCCTTTTGCACTTTTGAGTCCAACCTCAGAGGCGAGACACCTTCTAGGAAATGGCAGGCAGCAGCCGGTACTGCAGCTTTGGTTTTCCCCTCCCTCTACCGGGACTTCCCGGGGACATGATGTATCAAGCGTAGAGTTGGTTGTGTTTTGAAGTTTTATTTTACTGTAGCAAAAATAGGCCTGGTTGTCTACAAGATACATAGATTGTCTACAGAATAAATAAATAGTGTGGCATAAAATCCAGGATTATCTTTCTGATGCCCTTACCACTTGCTTGGAAGATCTTTCTAAACATAATAAGATTCTAAGGTAGGTGTGTTCCAGGTTTGAGGAACACTTATTATGCATGCCAGTTATCCTTATTGGTTTAGAAAAACTAGTCTTCAGCTTCCTTGCTCAGAAGGTATTCTTAAGACCACCCTAGAAACCAATGGGTTAGCTTATTTAAACATAGATTTTGATCCAAGCTACATGGCTTTTGTTTTCAAAGTATTTCTCTACGAACATATTTGTACTCTTGAGTACTAACAACTACTTTTGTTACAGACCTCATTACAACTTGTAAACTTTTGATGATTTAAGTATTATTGGCAGATTTTAAAAAAGATATTTTATAGAAATTATTGACTTTAGGCCCATTTTACTGTGAATGAGTAGGAGTGAGAGGAGTTTTAGAATGGCATATGTAAAATAATCCAGGTTATTTGGCTAGAGCCATAAGCATGCTATGATATAATCTATTGCCTCCTTTTCTATTTTAAGAAAGGTTTTCATGCTTAATGAAGCATGAAATCTGAGTAATCATTTTTGGAAATAGTTGCAAAGAAGTCTGTCTTCAAGGCCTAGCCACCTGTCTTGGTTGCTTTCTGCTAAGCAAGTACAAGTACATAAAAGTATTTGTAGTTATTAATTGCTTTATAGTTGTACCCAGGTACAATCACATGCTTTTGAGAAAACATCTAGTATGTTATGATCAGTTATTCCTGAGAGCTTAGTTGTTAAATGATATTTCCATTTCTTAAATGTAGTCATCTTTAATGAGTAAGATAAAGGAATCACTAGGTTTAAAATTTAGGAGTACAAAAGTTTCTGCAGTTGTAAGAATCTGTTATAAGGATATGGTTCTGAATGAGTGTTCTACGCCGGTTCCTACGTCAAAGACTTTCAAAATGGTGACTTTCAGTGGAAGCTGAATGAGAGGTGAACTAAGTGCATGCCTTTATCATCCAGTGTGAGGCCCGTTCCACATTTGTCAGTGCCTTTCATACTCAAAGGGAATCCTGTATGGTGTTGCCTTTATTTTCCAGGGAGTACATTCTTTGGTGAGGTACGGTCTATCTCCTCTGTAAAAGTATGCTGCACCTGATATACAAAGATAATGACAAGAAATCACTGCCATATCACCTTGTTTTTCCAGAAGCATGGCTCCTTTTTATTGACCTAACCACTAAATAGGTCACCCATCTCATTCCTCCTGGAACATTGTAGGTTTACAGGTTGGATGGTCTCATTTAAGGACAACCATACTTGAAACATCAGAGTAAACCGAATACATAGTAGCTTTTAAAATCCGTTTTTGTGGGGAAGGGTGTGGTGTAAAGGGAGGTATTTGTAATAGAAATTTTGAAGACGAAATATAATGTCCTGTCTTCCAGATGATAAGTATTGTAAAAGTGTATTGCAGTTATCTTTTCTATTGTGCCCATCTGGAGAAGGGAAGTGGTCCATTTCCCCAAGCTGCTCCTTCACTATCTGTGGAAGCTAAAGAATGGAAGGTGAAATATTTCTGTTCCTGGTTTGGTGGTGACTGGTTAATAGTTGTTACTCATTAGCTATTATGCAAAATCAGATTAGTTCACATCCTTTTTGATAGTCTTTTGGAAGAAGCAATTTTATTTTGAGTAGGGGCAGAATCTTTCTTGTTCCTAGTTTTCATAGTTTGCTCCCTTTATCATTGAGTCATTTACTGGCATTTTATTTAAGGACAGCAAGTTGGGAAAATGGTAAATTTAGGTCACGGAGGTGAATGAGTAGATGAAAGCCATTGCCTGTAAAGTCAGTTAACAACTCTTTTGTAGATGGGGCTTGACAAAGACCAGCAGATAATAGAATGAAGAAATGCATTCTTTTTCCTTCTAAAGTCGGAACACATCTTCTTGCAGATGGCTCTCTGAAAGGATCGCCTAAAACCTCCTTTGCAAGATTATAGAAATAAGCTCTGAGAATCTTCAGTGCAAGCCTCTCTCTCTCTCTCTCTCTCTCTCTCTCTCTCTCTCTCTCTCTCTCTCTCTCTTTCTCTCTCTCTCTCTCTGACAGCTAGGTAATTTCTCTTCAGATATGTCAGGAAGGACGTACAATGTTAGTGGCCTTATTCAGAGTGGTATCCTCAGGCCCAACCTTGTCTCCAGCACTTGTGCCAGTGTCGCTAGGTGGTTTATCTTGTATGGTTGTGAAATGGAATGTTTTGCATAATCCAGACTTGCCTTATTTAAGCAGTAAAATGTTTTTATCCATTTTAAAAAATATATCTATTGGTTTCAGAGAGGACAGGAGAGGGAAAGAGAGAGAGAAACATCAATGATGAGAATCATTGATCAGCTGCCTCTGCACACCCCCCACTGGGGATAAAGCCCACAACCGGGGCATGTGCCCTTGGCTGGAATCGAACCCGGGACTCTTCAGACTTCAGGCTGACGCTCTATCCCCTGAGCCAAACCAGCGAGGGCTATTTCAGCCATTTTTTGATGGGGTTATTTAATATGTATGTCAGAGAACATACTGGATATGTTTCTTTTTGTGCCTAGCTCTCTTCCTCAACTTCACGGGCGCTTAAAAGGGTTGTTGGCCTTTACTAAATGGTTGCAGACTTGCTGTGGGTTTGAATGTTTAGTTTTTACCCCTCCCCCCTCCTACCCCCATCTTCTCCCTTTCTGACAGGGACACTTCCTGTGCGTTGTTAGTGTACCTCCCCTTAGTATCTCTTCTTCCCTTTCTGATTCATTTTTTCCCCAGCTGCTTGGGCAAGGAAGCCAGAAAACCAAACTTACTAGCACTTTCTTTGACTACAAGGGCAAACTGGGACAGGACCCAAGAAACTTCCTGTACGCCATTGAAAGGCCTCAGTGCTTTGGCATTTGGCTGCTTAGAGTGCTTCTTGATTCTTGCTCAGTTTCAGTAGTTGAGGCAGAGAGAAGTGAGTCATATTCCTGTTTTCCCCCTTACAAGATTTTTTAAAGGTTTCATTGCTTCCACTTGAATGCTGCTCACATAACAATTGGGGTTATGAGGATTACGAAATTAGGTTATCAATAGCCAGAGGCCATGCCCTTGCCTAGAGGACACCAACAAAGCAAAACAAAAACAAAGCTTGGAAAGTGAGAGGATCGTTTTTGTTTTGTTCTGGTGTCTCCTTTTGAGCCCTGTGTTCTGGCCTTCCTCCTCCACAGGTAGTTTTGGTCTATAGGTGCCTTCATGAGGTTTGAGGGTTTGATGTCCTGCCCCAAGGAGTAGCTGAAGTAATTGCTGATGTTGTCAGGGATTTTACCATCAGACTTAGTGAATTAACTTTTTTTTTTTTTTTTTTTTTTTTTTTTTTTTAACTAGGAAGGCCTTGAGATCACTCTGGTGAAGACAATCATTTCTCTTATGGATGGGCATAGTGTTCAGTTTAAGATGCTTTCTCGGTAGGTCTCTTGTTCAGCCTGAAACGAATGACCCCTGGCTGGACCAGACAGTTGTCCTCTCTAGTTGTGCTCTGCCACTAATTTGCTGTATGACCTTGGGCAAGTCATTTACCTTCTTTGGGCCTCAGTTGCCTCATCTGTAAAATGAGGGAGTTGGACTGGATGCGTTCTTCCAGCTCTGAAGTGTCAGTGGCCTTGCCTGCCTTGCAGCAGTTTTTGATTTCTTCCTCACCTTTGCTCTGCTGTTCGAGGGGGCTTTTTTTTTACTTGTTTCTACATTATTTGAATGAGACTAGGCTTGAGATTTTATTACTATTCTCCTACGGACACCAAGTTACATAATATGTCCCTGAGACTTAAATTCAACCAAAGGCCTAGCACTACCTTGGGGGCTGCAATAAATACTTTAAAAAAAGGGGGGGGCGGGGAGGGAAGCCTTCATTTTATTTTCCCATCCTCTTTTGAAGGCTTAGGCTTTTCTTGTCATGCCATTCTAACTTTTGGGTTGGTATGTGTGTGACACCATCCCCTTAAGGGCTGTGTGCTGGTAATTTTTTTATTTAACTAAAATGGATTGAAAACTTACTGTAAATGCCTAATAATTGTAGAGGTCATTACTTTGGGTCTTTGGTTTTTTTAACTCTCCTATGCTTAGAACAGGGACATTACTTTGAACCGCATCAATTAAAATGGTTTGTACAACTCAATGAAACGTATAGTGGATAATTATTCACTTTATTCTTGGCTCTTTTTAGTCCATTTTGATGAGAAGACTTTTGGTTGGAGCATTTCTTTCAGAGTTCTCTTCCAGCCCATCATGGATGGTGTAATGAATGAACTGGGCTTTTACAAGGCCCTTCATTAGGGCTGGGTCAGAGGTGGGGGTTGGGGAGTCCTGGTAGAGGCCAGCTCGGAGGTAGCTGGGCAGGAAGGGATGTAACCAGCTGCTGTTGCTATGGCTGCTTGTCACTGATGGAAGGACTCATGGGTTTGCATTGATTGAAAGGCTAAACGTGGGTCGGCAAACTTCCTCCAGGTGTTGGGTTCTGGCCAGTGCCTCAGACATGTGATTTAAGGGAAACATGGACTGCTTGCTGATGAGAAGGTGGTGGGCTACAGAACCATTGGGAGGAGGCAGCTGGGGTTTGGAACAGATCTGGTGGTGGCTTTCCCAGCTCTGCCTCCTCCCCTGAACTCAGAGGAGTGCTGATGCTCAGAGCTGCGTGGGAGACAGCTGGCCAGCTGCAGTGCCAGGCGCTCTCTGTATACCTTTTCCCTGGGTGACGTCTGTGGCTAACAAATAGTTGAACCTTTCCTGAGAACTCTGTAACAAAGTATGTTTTTGATTAAAAGAGAAAGCCAATTAAACCATTATGTGCTCATTCTTTTTCTTAAGTTTGTGGATGTCTTGGATCTGGAAAGAGTGCCTCATCACTTCGAGAATTCTCAAATTTGAGGGCATTATTTCCTTCATCGCTCTGTGACCACTGAAATGGGAAATGGGGTGTTTTCAATCTATGACCGTGGAGAACAGTCCACACCTTCTCTCATCTGAAAGGAGAGTGGAGTGCTGGTGGGTGGAGGAGATGTGGGTGCCGAGGCTTGAATGAAAGACAGGTTTCTTACCTCATGCCTCCCTAGTCCCATTCCTGTGTCTTAGCTCCTTTTTTTTCTGGGTTTTCCTTCATTTTTCTAAATAGCATAATAATGTTGGCATTTCTTGATTTTGGGGGGGGGAGGAAAGGTAGAGAGCCATTGACTTGCTACTCTAAAAAAATGAGGGTTTAGCTGTCTCACACCATCACTACCCCACCAATTCTTATTCACCATTAGGATGAGATCATAACTTTTGATTAATTCACTATTCACAGCTGAGCCACTTGGTATACTTTTTTTTTTTAACTTCTTTCGTGTTTTTTGCTTTTCTCCTGAAATTCATTGACTTAATATTTTAATTTGCTCATTTTTCTTTAAAATTTTTTAAAATATATATATATATATATATATATATATATATATATATATTATTGATTTCAAAGAAGGGTGAGCAAGAGAGCGAGACAAAAACATCAATGATCAGAGAGAATCATTGATTGGTTGCCTCCTGCACTGGGGACCGATCTGCAACCCAGGCATATGCCCTTGACGAGAATCGAACCCGGGACCCTTCAGTCCACAGGCCAACGCTCTATCCACTGAGCCAAACTGGCTAGGGCTAGTTTGCTTTTCTATGTAGCTCTCGTGTTAGCCCCAGCTTTGCCACAGAATGCTGAATTTCCTGTCATGGCGGTCAGGCACGTCAGCCAGCCTTTCTGCCCCGCTATTTCATGACTCTCCTGAGGTGGCCTCTGCCTTGCAGCTCCTGTGGACCAGGCTCAGCTCAGAGTTGTCCCCCCACAGACGTCTCTTCCCCGGGAAGGTCAGGATTCATGGGACCAGAAGGTGAAGGGGTGGAGAGGGATAGGACACCTTAGTGAGTTGCTAGGAACAACCTGGAGAAGTGAGCCAGGCAAAGGCATGCCTCAAAGAGAAACGCCGCAGATGGAACAGGGGATTTGAACACGCCTCTCCCAGCCGCCAGCGGATGGCACCGCACTCAGAGCTTTGAGTAGAGACAGGGACAGCTGGCATCAGCTGGAATCCCATAGCCTGGCGGGCCAGCCCCCAGAGCCGGGGGAGCGCCACTGCACCGGGGTGTCCAGCTCTCCTCTTGCTTCCCAAGGTTCCTTATGTCATAAACATCCCATTTGTTAGAGTTCTTAGCAGTCACACTTTATTTATTTTTATTTTTTTTAATATATCTTATTGATTTTGTACAGAGAGGAAGGGAGAGAGATAGAGAGTTAGAAACATCGATGAGAGAGAGTCATCGATCAGCTGCCTCTTGCACACTCCCCACTGGGGATGTGCCCGCAACCAAGGTACATGCCCTTGACCGGAATCGAACCCGGGACCCCTCTGCCCCCAAGCCGACGCTCTATCCACTGAGCCAAACCGGTCTCGGCAGCAGTCACACTTTAAATAAAGCCAAACAGTACCAGGTAATATTTGACAAATAAAAATGAACTAACCTAATCTATAAACTGCGGAGAGTAGTAAACACACACACACACTCAGTCCCCAGTCTTCAGAACTAGAATGGGGAAGGGTTCTGTGAAGATGGAGACAATCTCAGGTGACCTCCTGCCCAAGCTGTTAGCTGACCGCACCCGGAGGCGCCCTCAGACCTGCCATTTCTCCTTTTGGCCCGTTTGACAACCTCTATCCACCGCATCTTTAAGCTTCGGCTTCTTTATCGCGGACAGGCTCACACAGCACTCAGGGTTGGTGTGAGGATAAACTGAGGAAAACGTCTGTGAGTAGTTAACTATGTGCCGGGTGTCTAAGAAGAGGCTAATGCAGGCTCACAGTTAGCCAGGTGCCCGGGTATAGGAAGGGGCTGATGCAGCTCAGCTGTCACCACCCCATCACCCTCAGGCCCTTAATGGGAACCAGGTGTTTGGGGGCCGCCCTGACCTTTGACATGCACGGGCCTGGCTATCCCTCCAGCCCAGGGAGGGGGCTTTTTGCATCCTCATTGGGGCGCTGGTGACCTCCACCCTCACCCGGGCATTCCCCCTTCCACCCCCCTTGCCCCTGCGCCCCCAACCCCAGCGCGGCTGTGCACACAGCCTGTGCCCCGGGCGCAGCCTGGCTGCCTTGGAGCTCGGGGGGCGGCGGCGGGAGCTCAGGTGCGGGGCGGGGAAGCCCTTTGCCTGGACGCTCGCCCTCCCCAGGGAACCTGACCCGCAGGGCCGCCCACGGAGCCCGGGAGGGGCTGGGGAGGGGGTTTGCGGGGAACGGCAGGCAGCCAGGCACAGGCCGCCCGCGGGGTCAGGGAGCCCGAGGCGCGGGCAGCCGGGCGTTAGCTGGCCGGGCCGGGCCGGGTTTGTCCCCGGAGGAGCCGGGCGCTGGGGCGGGCTGGGCGGGGACAGGTCTCAGCAGGCCCAGCGGAGGGCCGGGCGGGGTCCCGGAGGGAGGGATGGAAAGGGTTCAGGGAGGGAGGGGGTGGCCAGGGAACCGGGAGAGAAGCGGGAGGCGCCTCTGCGGGCGGGCCACTTCCTGCGATGACCACCAGGGGTCGCCATTGTCGCGCCAAGGCGTTGGCGGCCGCGTCTGCCCCGGAGGCCCCCCCTCCGCCCCCCTCCCAGCTGCCCCGGTGAGGTCGTCCTGGGAGGGGACACCCGGGGTCCCAGCCTCCTGGAGCCGCTCGCCGGGACCAGAGCCCGGTGGGGAGGTCTGCGCAGAGGGTGCTGGCCGCCGCCCACAGGCCTGTGGCTGGCCCTCCTGCTGCCACCCGAGGCCCAGAGCCAGGCTGACTCTCCTGCTCCTGTCCCCGAGGGTGTGGCACGTGAAGCATCTTTAATTCCGCGCTGCGAGGACGCCTGGGAGGTAGCTATGACAACGGTCATACAGTCCACCAGGGCCTGGGGCAGGCGGAGGAGCTAAGCCAGGCCCTTGCTTGCCCAGAACCAGGAAGGTGCCCGGCGCGCTGAGCACTGGCCACTCTGGAGGGCTGCAGGCCTCCGAGCCCCGCCCCGCCCCTCCTGGGGCCCAGGTGGACCCCGAGGGGCCAGGAGCCATTCCGAGCATCCGAGGGAAGGTGTTACCCCCACCGCCACCGCCTGGGCTCTCAGCCCCGCCTCACTGACGGGGTGGGGGTGGGGGGGTGGGGGTGGATGGAGCTCCGGAGCCAGGACAGGAGGCAGGGCGAGTTCAACCGGCATCAGGGGGCGCCCGTGTCCCCTCCCAGCCACGCCCTGAGCCTCTCAAGAGCTTTAAAAGCAGATGTCACCCTTGGTTTAAGGCAGGACAGTGAGGGGCAGAGGTTGAAGTTTCCCTGGGACTCAGGTGCCTGAAGGGAAGCCTCATGTGGAGGGACATAAAGGATCGGGAGGGGAAATGGGCGGCGCCACCACCCCAATCCGTCGCTATGCTATACCCATAGATTGCTTCTGCAAAACAGCAGGGAATTCCGTGGTGGATACGTGGCCACGTGTTCCTGGGTGACACCAGGAACATGTATTTATTTGCATCTCCTGCAATGGGACCGGAGCGTTAGAAAAATGCTGTAGAAACTAGAGGACGCTCTCAGCGCCCCCTGGTGGGGAGGGAGGGCGCTGCCCCGCCCTGGAGGGAAGGCACCCCTGGAAATGGGAAGGGCTGAAGTAGATGCTGGAAAGAAAAATAAGTCTTAGAAGATAGATTCAGGAATCTCTGGCTAATTGGGATTTAAAGACAGATTAAACTATGCTGAAAGGAGTAAATAGCTAAGTAGATTTTCTCAGTTCATAGTTTGAATATTAAATTTTAACAGAGAAAGTTTAGCCCTAACTGGTTTGGCTCAATGGATGGAGCGTTGGCCTGCAGACTGAGGGATCCCAGGTTCGACTCTGGTCAAGGGCATGTACCTTGGTTGCGGGCACATTCCCAGTGGGGGGTGTGCAGGAGGCAGCTGATTGATGTTTCTCTCTCATCGATGTTTCTAATCCCTTTCCCTTTCTCTTTGTAAAAAAATCAATAAAATATTTTTTTTAAAAGAAAATTTAGGTATAACATACCGATGGCTTCTTAACATGAACTTAGGATTTTAATTTTCTTTCCTTTCCTCCATAACTGTCTTTCTTATCATAAAAAGATGCAAAATATATCATTTCAACTCCCCCCTTTAATTTTCACCCTAATTAAAAAAAATGTTTTATTATAAAGGATTTCAAACATACAACAAATACCAGAATAATATGGGAGAGCCCGCCCTCATTGAACTCAGTTTTAGTTATTAACAACTAATGGCGAGCCTTGCTTCATTCATATCCCCCTTCTTTATTCATACCCTCACCTTCTGTTTGGAAGGAAATCCTATGTAGTCATTGTATATGTAGGTACTTTAGCATTCATTTCCAATAAAGATTTTCTAAAAGTATAACTATAGTAACCATAATGATTGATTTAAATGATAACATAGTTTCTCAAATAGAGCTGTATAATTTTCTTAAACAGTGTTCTGTTATTTGTTATTTATGATTGTTCCATTTTTTTCTTCTGGCCATTAACACAGTGAGGGTGAGATCTTGATGCTTATAACTCTTCCATTTAATAGAGTTGAAGAATTTCTGGATCAGAAGGCCAAATTGATTTGCACATTAGAGTATGAAAAGCACTTCTGCTATGCTCACCAGGAGTAAATGTGAGAGTTTAATAAACTTGGTGCTGATTTAGGATGCAAATAATACTTGTTTTGATTTAGAGAGACAAGAGTAATTCCTAGAAGAAATGGGGTTAGGCAACACGTTACAGAGGTCGAGGAAGGGCCCTTGGGACTTGGAGTGCGGAAGCTGATGGTACTGTGCCTGGGTGGGGAGGGAGAGAGGGATGAAAGGCACAGGTGTGCTCCAGGGAGGGAGAGTCACTGGGTGCTCCATCTGAAGCGTGTTAAGGCAGGGATTTAGGGGAGGTCCCAGGGGAAGATCTTAATAGGATGCACAGCAGTTCTTCAGGTATATCCTTTCAGGGTTGTGGTCTCCAGTGATTGATAGGCAGGCACCAGGGCAGGGGTCGTCATTCAGTGCAGCTGGTCCTGAGCTCAGCACTGGCTGGTTTTTTCCTTATCTGGGCCTGGAGCTGAAATACAAGGAGTGATGGCGTCTTCCCAGGCCGAGTCGAGCGGGCATATGCCTTGGAATCTGGGAGCAGGCAAGTCACCCATCACCAAATGTGCTGTAGGCTGTGGGAACAGCACGGTGTCTGACCCCTGAGGTCAGACCAAACCTGGGTTCAGCAACCTGGGTGCTTGGATTCTGGCTGGGTTGGGGGTGAGGCAGAGAGAGAGGGCAGGGAAAGGCCTGGGCCTGCATTGAGTAGGCTTCCAGTCATATTGCCCTTCTCCTCACCATTTAATATCTACTACACTCAGCCTTATGCAAGGGTATATTTATTGGTTGTAAAGAGGGAAGGAGGGAGAGAGAGAGAGAAACATCAATATGGGAGAAAAACTTAGATCAGTTGCGTCTTGTACACGCCCAGAGAGACTAAGGATTGAACCCCAAACCTAGGCATGTGCCCTGACCCCTAGACCTGTCAGTGTATGACACACCAACTGAGCCACACTAGCCAGGGCGAGAGGACCTTTATGTGTCATAAAAGATTCTCACAGGGCATCTCATTCAGAGCTAAATAATATAAAGAATAATTCATAATGAATTTCTTAGGTGCTCTATCCAAATTCTAACTTTAAAAAAAGTTAACCAAATTTAAAAATATTTTCTTGAATGACGTGATTTCAGAAATTAAAGATAATACCTTGGAGATGTACATTTTCCATTGAACAGCATTTATTTGATAAAGCTGTGCTTTATGCCTCTCATTACAACACATACCGTATTTTTCGGACCATAAGACGCACTTTTTTCCCCCTAGAAGTGGAGGGAAAAAGTCCCTGCGTCTTATGGTCCAAATATAGACTACACATATACTTAAAAAAAAAAAGTTTTTTTACTTGCCCGGCTCTGTGTGGTCTCTGTGTGCTTGCCTGGCTCTAAAATGGTTCTAAATGCTGCTGTTTACTTTACAGGGTTGATTACATGTGTTTATGACTGTGATGTTGGGTTTTAATGCACATAAAATATTTTAGGACACTATTTGTTTCAGAATCTTTTTTTCTTCATTTCCCTTCTCTAAAAACTGGTGCGTCTTATGGTCCAGAGCGTCTTATGGTCCGAAAAATATGGTAATTTAGCTAAGTTCTTACATTGTGAGAAAAGTTTCATGTTGTTAACTCAGCCTTTTACATTCACAGTTATTTTAAACCATTTGTTGTTGTTCAAATGAACACACTAAATGCATCTTCAGCGTTAAAATCATAGTGGCAAACATGACTTGCCTTCACTAAGTGATACAACAAATGACCTTTCAGCCAAGAGAGGATTGAGCATTGCCGCTCACAGCAGCTATCTAGTTAGAGTGCAATTAACCTTTACTGGTCGGAATGAATGGCTGACTAGCTTGGGTTCTTACACTCAATTAGGGAACTGGAAACATATGCTATGGGTTGATGTTTTCTATAATATTCCCCAGAGTAGTCTTAAAGTCAGTGTGTTTAGAAAAAGAAAAGTTTAGTCTGCCTTAGTGGTTAGATCATTGTCCACATACACCATGGCTACAGGTTTGGTCCCCTGTCAGGACACATGCAAAAATCAACCAATGAATGCATAAATATAAGAGGAGCAACAAATTAGTCTCTTTCTCTCGCTTTCTCTCTCTCTCAAAATCAATTTTAAAAATTAAAAAAATATGTGAAATGAAATGCCATGGTAAAATAATTTATTTCTGTCCTGATTACTGTTGTTCTTTGGATTTCCAGATTTAAAAAATGTCTAGAGTTTTAAGAATGCTAGGCCCTGAGCTGAAAAATAGAATACAGGAAAATGCCTAGATATTTCAGGCATCATTTTATCCAATTCTTTTGGGTGCTTTCAGATTCCTCTTCTGTTCCTTCAGCCTGTATTTGAGGAACAGCTTTGCCTTATGGAGTGATGTTTGCTCCCATTTGTCTCCTGTAGCTCCTGAGTATTGGTGTTCCATCGCTTACTTTGAAATGGATGTTCAAGTAGGAGAGACATTTAAGGTTCCTTCCAGCTGCCCTATTGTTACTGTTGATGGATATGTGGACCCTTCTGGAGGAGATCGCTTTTGCTTAGGTCAACTCTCCAATGTCCACAGGACAGAAGCCATTGAGAGAGCAAGGTATTGATTGTATAGGTATTTTACAAGTTGAATACATTACATTGTCTTTTTAATCAGTTATATTTCTCAGTGTAGTAGATAATGTGAATTCATTCCACTAGGAAAAAAGAAGTAAAGGTCATTTTGAAAATTCAGAATCAGTAAGCATTCCACTTGTATTGCAGATGTTTGTTATTTAAAATATTTAAAAAATGGTTCTTTTGTTTATAAGTGAGGTTCCTGTTTTGAATAGTAACAACACCTTTTGGAATCCAATTTAAAAAGTAGTTTTTGTATCCTCCAATCATGTATTCTACACATCTATTGAAAGGCACTAATTTAAAATGAAGACATGGCTCTGCATGTGTTATTTATAATGTTGGTAAACAATGAAAGGGAAAGTGATTGAGTAAATTTTGATAAACTTTTATTTTTTATGTAGCCATTAAAATGTTAATAAAATGTTTATATAATCAAATGTAAATGCTTAAGATGAAATACTATAGGAAAACATACACAGTGTTAGGTACTTTGTAATCTCAACTCTAAGAAAATGTGTGAGTGTGTGTAAATACATAATCTTGGCTCTATTGCTAGCTGTGTGTCTGGCAAATCACCTGGTCCCCAAGCCAATGTGTCCAAGAAATGTCTGTGATGAAGGGAATGGTTTGTATCTGCGTTGTCCAGCACTGCAGCCATTAGCCATGTAACCACTGAGCACTTAAGATATAGTCATGTGGTTAACTGAATTTTTCAATTATTTTAAATTAAATTAAATATCCACTTGTAGTAGCTAGTGGCTATCATTTTGAACAGTGTAGCTAGAAGCCTTAGTTTAGTCATTTATGAAGTGGGAATAATAATATTTAGCTCATTGAATTGAGAGTTTATATTACATGTGTCTGAGACACAGTAACTATGCATTATGTTATGTATACTAGTGGCCTGGTGCATGGATTCATGCACATTGAGAGAAATTAATTAGAAAGTGGTGGCTGGACATGCTCTGGAACCAACTTTCTGCAGTCCTTCCCCGGCCAGCCACACCTGGGGTGGTATCTCAACTCAAAGGGTGTCTGAGGTCACCAAGGTCAGCAGTAAATTAAATTTGGGGCCAGCAGTGCCCCAGCAACAACATAACCCATGGCCTAAGGTGGAATTGTGTGGGTCCCTCCTCTCTGGTTCCAGGGTGCATCACCCAAAAACCACCACTGCCAAGTCACCACAGCTCAGCAGCTCTTTCGTTGAGCGTGTGCCCCCTGGTGGTCAGTGCGTGTCACACCAGCTGGCCATTCAGTCAGTGGGATGATCTCTTAGCCTTTTATATATATACTAGAGGCCCAGTGCACGAAATTCATACACAGGAGGTGGGAGTGTCCCTCAGCCCAGCCTGCACCCTCTCCAATCTGGGACCCCTCCAAGGATGTCCGACTGCCTACTTAGGGGCAGTCGAACATCCCTCTCACAATCCAGGACTGCTGGCTCCCAACTGCTCAGCTGCCTGTTTTCCTGATTGCCCCTAACCCCTTCTGGCTGCCAGCCTGATCACCCCTTAACCACTCCCTTGCTAGCCTGATAGATGTCTAACTGCTCCCCTGTCAGCCTGTTTGCCTTCAACTTACCTCCTCTGCTGGCCTGGTCACGCCTAACTGCCCTCCCTGCAGGGTTGATTGCCTCCCACAGACCTCCCTTGCAGGTCTGGTCCCTCTCGACTGTCCTCCCCTGTTGGCCATCTTGTGTCTACATAGGTGCAGGATCTTTGACCACATGGGGGCAGCCATCTTGTGTATTGGAATGATGGTCAATTCTGCATATTACTTTTATTAGATAGGATAGAGGCCTGGTGCACAGGTGGGGGCCAGCTGGTTTGCCCTGAGGGGTGTCCTGGATCAGGGTGGGGGTTCCTTAGGGCATGGGTGGCCTGAGCAAGGGGCCTGTGGTGGTTTGCAGGCTGGCCACGCCCCCAGCAATCCAAGCAGAGGCCCTGGAATCTGGAATTTATCTTCTACCATTGAAACATTGTAGCCTGGAGGGAAGCCAAGTCTCCTGCTCACTTGTGGTGGCAGGGGATTTATTTACCTCTATAATTAAAACTTGGAGCCTTAAGTGGAGGCCTGGGCCTGGCAGGGTGTGTGGAAAGCTTGGCTTCCTCTATCGCCTGGGAAACCCAAGCCTCCCAGTGGCCGCAGCCATCTTGGCTGGATTAATTTGCATAATTGCTCTGATAGGCTGGTGGGCATGGCTTGTGGGTGTAGCGGAGTAGTGGTTAATTTGCATATCACTCTTTTATTATATAGGATAGATGCCCATCATTATTATATATGAACTAGAGGCCTGGTGCATGAATTTGTGCACAAGTGGGGTCCCTTGGCCTGGCTGGTGATCGGGGGGCTGATTAAGGCCATCTCACCCAGTTCTGATTAGGGCTGATGGGGGCTGGCTGGCCAGGGAAGGACTGCAGAATATTGGCTGTCTGGGGAAAGACCACGGGAGGGCTTCAGGGCTTGTCCAGCCCATCTCGCCCAGTCCCGATAGGCCTGACCCCAGCAGCAAGCTAACCTAACAGACAGAATGTCAACCCCCTGGTGGTCAGTGCGCATCCTAGCAACTGGTGGAACGGTCAGACACTTAGCATATCACACTTTAATTATATATCGAATAGTATAAGATATTTTAAAAAGAAGGAAATATACAAAATATACAATGGCAATCTTTTGATTATGGTGTTATATGAAGTTCTTTCTTCTTTTTTAATTTTTAAGTATTGAGTATGGTATGTCATTTGAACTAATGTGTTTTTTAATACTTATCAACATAAAATGTAATTCCCTTTTCCTCCCTAAGGTTGTGCATAGGCAAAGGTGTGAAATTGGAATATAATGGTACAGAGGTTTGGGTCAGGTGCCTCAGTGACCATGCAGTCTTCATACAGAGCGACTACTTGGACACAAAATGTAAGGCTATGTATGGGATAGGTGTTCACAAGATCTGCCCAACAACGAGTCAAAAGGTTAGTGGACATTCTGCTAAAATATCTCAGACTTGGGGGGCTTTATTTGCTTAGAGAATTGAGATGGAGGAGGGAGAAAAAGAAAAATGACTTTTTATGTATTAAATCCCAGAAATTATGCTGTTTTTAAAACACATTTCCTTGGGGGGTACTTATTGACATGGCTGGTTATCTAGTTTTGTGATTTACACTCATGCCCTGTTATTTTAGTAGCAAATGTTTCAATGGTTTAGACTAACACACAGGTTATTGAAAATATTGAATGAGACCCTATAAGCATATTCCTTTGTTATAAAAAAAAATGTAAGATGTTCATAGCCAATCTTTAGAATTTTATGAAAGGAAATTCTAATTCTCCATCAAATTAAGCCTAAGGTATTTTTTTTATTATTACATATTCAACTCATTTTACTTTGAAAAAAACACTGTTTGAAAGAAAAATATTATAATTTGATAGCCCCCCTCTCTCTCTACACACACACACACACACACACACACACACACATTATATATATATATATATATATAATGTTTTAATTGACTTAGAGAGGAAGGGAGAGAGAAAGAAGCACTGATGTGAGAGAGAAACAGATGGCTGCCTTCTGCAGGTGCCCTACCCAGGAATTGAACCCATGCCCCTCCAGGACACAGGATGATGCTCATCCAGCTGAGCCTCGCTGGCCAGGGCTTAGTTTTTGTTTTCACTCCCTGTCATGGTTTCTCCCTTTGAAACCATTCTGCCTGAGGCTGGCACCCAGGGATCCAGTCTCAGAGCCAGCTTTTCCATTTAGAAGGTAGAGGAGTTGCACCCTTTGAGGAAGCTGAGTTCCAATCCCCTGGGTCCAGTCCTCAGGGCCTGAGTCCTGTGGCAGAGGTTTTTCTGATGCTCACCTCTGCCCTGGGCGAGAATCTGCCTGGGTGCTTTCTGGGTTAGCTGTAAGGCATTTCGCCAGCCTTTGACTCATGGGCAGGTGCCCACTGATAGACCCCAGAGTGCCTGGCTATTGTCTCTTTCCATTTTATTCTAAGAAGCAGACTTCTGTCCTCTGCACCTACCGTTTGTGGTCCTGGGACCCCAAGGTCTTTAGCCCTGCTGTCCACTGTGGATTTGTCCATCAGCATTGGATGGACTATGGGTTGTTTCCACTTGTTGGCTACTAGGAATAATGCTGCTATGAGCATTCATATTGGAGTTTTTTAGGCAGATGTGTGTGTTCATTTTGTTGGATATATAAGTAGGAGTGGAATTGCAGGATCATAGGCAACTCTATGCTTAACTTTTTGAGGGACGACAGACTGTTTTCAAAAGTGGCCATGTCCTTTTCCATTTCCACCAGCGATGTATTAATTAATGTCGTTTTCTAATACTTTTTTAAATCGAATTTATTTAAACAATACAACAAAATTTAATCAACAATATAGTTGCCGTTGTTTTCTACTACTTCTGCCCAACGCTCAGGAAGCATTTTAATCCCTCTGTTGTAAAATTCTTGTGATTTTGATGCAAAAAATTCGGTCAATGCATTTTTGAGGCATTCTTCATTATTAAATTTTTTTCCAAGAAGAAAGTTTTGCAAAGAACGAAACAAATGGTAATCAGAAGGGGCAATATCAGGAGAATATGCAGGTTGAGGGAGAACTTCCCATTCCAACTGGCGCAGTTTTTCAGCAGTGATTCTTGCAGTATGCGGTCGTGCGTTATCGTGGTGAAGAATTACGCCCTTTCGATTAATCAGCGCGGGTTCTTTTTCTCTTAAAGCTTGGGCTAACCTTTCCAATTGGGCACTATACACTGCACTTGGAATGGTTTGGTTAGATGGTAAAAGTTCATAATGAAGAATTCCTTTAAAATTCCACCAAACACACAACATCACTTTTTTCACATGCAAGTCAGGTTTTGGCGTGGGCTGTGGAGCCTCATTTTTGTCCAACCATTGAGGCCGCCTTTTCAAATTAACATACAGCACCCATTTTTCATCTCCGGTAACAGTTTGCTCTAAAAACGGCAAACGGTTTTGACGAGAGAGGAGCGAACTGCAAATTGTGACTCTTTGATTACGGTTGTTGTCGGTCAACTCATGAGGAACCCATTTTCCAAACTTTTGGACTTTGCCAAGTGCAGGCAATTGATTGGAAATTGTTTTTTGTGAACAATTTAAAGTTGTCGCAAGCTCTTGTTGGGTAATTTGAGGATTTTGCACCAAAAGAGCTTGAAGAGCTTCTTGATCAAAATTGGACACATGGCCTCGACCACTCTTGTCATCTAACGAAAAATTTCCCTTGCGAAATTTCTCAAACCAACACTGGCATTTTCTGGTGCTAACTGCATCTTGACCAAGAGCACTACAGATGTTTTTTGCAGCCTCACTTGCTTTTCTTCCTAATTGGAACTCGTAAAGCATGCAGTGCCGAATATGCTCTTCATCCGCCATCTTCTTAGCCCTAGTTTTGCAACAAAAACCAAACCAAACACAAACTTTTTCAAGCAAAACTTGTTAATTGCACTTCACACGTTCTGTAGATACCACATGTTTGAAGGTTATGTCAATACAAGTCAACACCAAGCAAGATTTTAAACGAATGTTAAAAACGACATTAATTATTACTAGACCCGATATATGTGAGGGTTTCAGTTCTCTATATGCTCATCGGCACTGGTTATCCTTCTTATTTAGCTTTCCTAGTGGATGTGAAGTGGTATCTCATGGTGATTTTGATTTGCATTTCCCTAATAACTAATAATGTTGAATATCTCTTCAGGTGCTTATTGCTCATTCGTATGTCTTCTTTGGAGAAATGTCTGTTTAGATCTTTTGTCCATTTTTTAAAATTGGGTTTTCTTTTTATTATTGAGTTGAAAGAGTTCTTTATATATTCTGGTATCACTCCCTTGCCTGATATATAATTTGAAAATCTTTTCTTCTTTGGCTTGTCTTTCATTTTCTTGATATGATTTGCAACCCACACAAAAGTTGTTCAATTTGGTATCTTTGAGTTTATCTGTTCTTTGAATGGGTGTGCTTTTGGTGTCATATCTAAGAAACCATTGCCTACTCCAAGGTCCTGAAAATGTATGACTCCTGTGTTTTGTCCTAAGGGTTTTATAGTTCTGGCTGTAAACTTAGGCTTGTTAGACATTTTTAGTGAATTTCTGTGCATAGTTTAAGGAGGTTGATCCAGCTTCGTTCTTCTGCATGAGACTACTCAGTTGTTCCAGCAACCATTTGTCAAAAAGACCGTTTCCCTTATCAAATTATGTTGATACCCCTGTTGAAATTAAATTGACCTTAAATATAAGGCTTGTTTCTATGCTATCAGTTGTATTTCATTGATGTGTGTATCTATTCTTATGAGTGCACTTCTCAGCTTCAATTACTGTAGCTTTGCAGCAAGTTTTGAAATTGAGAAGTGTGAATTCTCTAAATTTGTTCTTTTTCAGGATTTTTGGGCTATTGCTATCCCCTGGTTTTCCATAGGAATTATATGGTTGGATTGGAGAATATCAATTTAAAAAATTATAGGAAAGGAGCGAGAGATACAGAAAACATCCATGATGAGAGGGAATCTTTGATCGGCTGCCTCCTTCACGCCCCCCACCGGGATCAAGCCTGCAATCTGGGCATGTGCCTGAATGGGAATCACACGGTGACTCCCTGGTTCATAGGTTGACGTTTAACCACTGAGCAACACTGGCTGGGCAAGGATATCATGTAAATGGAGCAGAGAAAGAAGGTTGTCATACATACCTCACCTTCATCCTGACTGGAAATCTTTGGATTATTTGTCATTTGAAATGAATGAACAGAACATGACCGTGTTGAATATATACTATGTACCAGACAGAAGTTATTTTGCTCTTAGGTATGCATTTCTTAAAAATGCAGATTTTTTTTTTTTTTTTTAATGTAGTGTCAATGCCTCTTATCACACTCCTGGAATAGTGAAGAAAAGAAGTTGACTATATAACTAACAACCAAGGTCATCAATCCAGCCTTCAGAAAACTCGTAGCAGTTGGTCTTGAAAGAGTGGGGGCGATTTGTTAATTTTTTTTTTGTGTGTGTGTGTGTGTGTGTGTTTGTACACGAAGAGGTCCTTTTTCACAGGGACCATAACACTGACCCACACGGACTTAGATCAAGGGCTCAGGGGCATGTCGCCACCACTGCTGTCCTGCTGGCCAGCTTTTTTAACCACCAATTCCAGTATACATGAAAACCGAACATTTTAAATTGTTTCCTTCTGAGAGCTACGGGTTTTAAGTAAATTGCGTGTGGATTGTTATCTGGAATCTTTTCTGGTGGACTCGTAACATTAAACTGATCCTCCTCTTCCCCCCCCCCCACCCTTTTTTTTTAAGGTCTTTGATTTGACTGAGTATCATAATCTAATCCTGAGGCACCTGCTCTATATAGATATGATAGTGGATTCCCTGGAAACACCCGGGTCCGAAGTCTTCCCTCTCCCTGGACCACAAGGTGGAACACTTGTAAGCCGTAAGTATGCGTTTGTGTTGTTGTTGTGTGTTTTTTTTTAATTTAATTTTTAAAACCTTTATTGTTTAAAATATTATATATATCCTCCTTTCCCCCTTTATTGAAAATATTATATATGTCCCCTTTCCCCTTTCTAGGCTGACCCCGCTCTCCCCTCCCCCCCCCCCCCCCCCCCGGTCCTCACCCCCCTATAGTCTGTGCCCATGGGTTATGCATACTTGCATACAAGTTCTTTGGTTGTTCTCTTCCCACCCAATACCCTCCCTCGCTTTCCCTCTGAGATTCCACAGTCTGTTCCATGCTTCCGTGTCTCTGGACCTATTCTGTTCATCAGTTCATTTTGTTCATTAGATTCCACCTATGAGTGAGATCATGTGATGCTTGTCTTTCTCTGACTGGCTTCTTTCACTCAGCATACTACTCTCCAGGTCCCTCCATGCTGTCTTAAAGGGTAAGAGATCCTTCTTTTTGGCTGCTGCATAGTATTCCATGGTGTAAGCGTACCACAGCTTTTTTATCCACTCATCTGCTAATGGGCACTTGGCTTGTTTCCAGATCTTAACTATTGAGAATTGCATTGCTATGAACAAAGGGGTGCATACATTCTTTCTGACTGGTGCTTCGGGATTCTTATGACATATTCCTAGAAGTGGGATCACTGGGTCAAATAACAGTGTCATATTTAACTTTTTGAGGAAATTCCATACTGTTTTCCAGAATGGCTGCACCAGTCTGCATTCCCACTAGCAGTGTACTAGGGTTCCTTTTTCTCCACATCCTTGTCAGCACTTGTCATTTGTTGATTTGTTGATGGTAGCCATTCTGATAGGTGTGAGGTGGTACCTCACTGTTTTAATTTGCATCTCTCTGATGATCAGTGACTTGGAGCATTTTTTCATATGTCTTTTGAAGAAGTGTCTATTTAGGTCCTTTGTCCATTTTTTAAACTTGATTGTCTTCCTTTTGTTAAGTTGTATGAGTTCCTTATATATGTTGAATATTAAACCTTTATCAGATGTATCATTGCCAAATATGTTCTTCCATACAATGGCCTTCCTTTTCATTTTGTTGATTGTTTCTTTTGCTATGCAGAAGCTTTTTATTTTGATGTAGTCTCATTTGATTATTTTCTCCTTAGTTTTCTTTGCCCTAGGAGATGTATCCACAAACATACTGCTACAAGAGATGTCTGAGATTTTGATGCCTGTGGTTTCTTTTAGGATTTTTTATGGTTTCACCACTTACAGTTAGGTCTTTTATCCATTTTGAGTTTATTCTCGTGTATGGTGTAAGTTGGTGGACCAGTTTCACTTTTTTGCACGTATCTGTTCAATTTTCCCAACTTTATTTATTTATGATATTTTACTTTTTCTTTTCTTTCTTTTTTTAAAATATATTTTATTGATTTTTTACAGAGAGGAAGGGAGAGAGACAGAGAGCTAGAAACATCAATGAGAGAGAAACATCGATCAGCTGCCTCTTGCATACCCCCCACCGGGGATGTGCCTGCAACCAACGTACATGCCCCTTACCGGAATCGAACCTGGGACCTTTCAGTCCGCAGACCGACGCTCTACCACTGAGCCAAACTGGTTTCGGCTTTACTTTTTATTTTCACACAACATCATTTATTGAAGAGACTGTCTTGACTCCAATGCATACTCTGGCCTCCTTCATTAAGTATTATTTTATTTTAGTTTTTTTTTTTAAATTTAATAAATCTTTATTGTTCAGATTATTACAATTGTTTCTCTTTTTCCGCCCATAGCTCCCCTCCACATGGTTCCGACCTCACCCTCTACCCTTACCCCCCGACACTGTCATCATCCATAGGTATACAATTTTTGCCCAATCTCTTACCACATCCCCAACACCCCTTCACCACTGAGAATTATCAGTCCACTCCCTTTCTATACCCCTGATTCTATTATATTCACCAGTTTATTCTGTTCCTCAGATTTTTAAATCATTTAATTTTTAGATTCATTTGTTGATAGATATGTATTTGTTGTTCATACTTTTTATCTTTACCTTTTTCTTCTTCTTCCTCTTCTTAAAGAATACCTTTCAGCATTTCATATAATACTGGTTTGGGGGTGATGAATTTCTTTAGCTTTTTCTTATCTGTGAAGCTCTTTGTCTGACATTTAATTCTGAATGATAGCTTTGCTACGTAGAGTAATCTTGGTTATAGGTTCTTGCTATTCATCACTTTAAATATTTCTTGCCACTCTCATCTGGCTTGCATGGTTTCTGTTGAGAAAACAGCTGACAGTCGTATGGGTGCTCCCTTGTAGGTAACTGTTTTAGCTTGTTTTAATATTCTCTTTGTCTTTTGCTCTAGACCACATGTGTCAAACACAAGGCCCACGGGCCAAATCCGTCCCGCCAGGCCTTGCAATGTGCCCCGCACCGCGCTGTCATCACTGCACTCCGCTGCGTTTCCATCACAATGATAGTTTATGACTGTTCAGTAAACCATTCAGCCAGCGAATTAGGCTGGATTTTAGATTTTGGCCCCTTCTCTGATTGAGTTCGACACCCCTACTCTAGACATTTTAATTATGATGTGTCTTGGTGTGGTCCTCTTTAAATTCCTTTTGTTTGGGGTTCTGTGCACTTCTTAGACTTATAAGTCTATTTCTTTCACCAGGTAGGAGAAGTTTTGTCATTATTTCTTCAAATAGATTTTCAGTATCTTGCTCTCTCTCTTCTTCTGGTACCCCCATAATTCTGATGTTGGTACACTTGAAGTTGTCCCAGAGGCTCCTTACATTGTCTTCATATTTTTGGATTGTTTTTTCTTTTTGCTTTTCCAGTTGAGTGTTTTTTTTGTTTGTTTTGTTTTGTTTTTTTGCTTCTTAGTATTTCAAATTTTTGACTTGACTCTTGCATTCCTCTAGTCTGCTGTTGGATCTCTGTATTATATTTTTTATTTCAGTCAGTGTATGTTTAAAGTTGGTTCTTTTTCATATTCTCGGAGGTCTCACTAAATTTATCGGCCTTTTCTTTTTTAAAAATATATTTTATTGATTTTTTTACTGAGAGGAAGAGAAGGGATAGAGAGCTAGAAACATGGATGAGAGAGAAACATCTATCAGCTTCCTCCTGCACACTCTCTACTGGGTATGTGCCTGCAACCAAGGTACATGCCCTTGACTGGAATTGAACCTGGAACCCTTGAATCTGCAGGCCGATGCTCTATCCACTGAGCCAAACCAGTTAGGGCTATCGGCATTTTCTGGAAATTTTTTGAAAAACCTTATAACTGTGGTTTTCACTCTATATCCAGTTGTTTGCTTTCCTCCATTTCTTTCATTTGTGATCTGTTTCTTTGTCTCCATATTTTTGCTGCTTCCCTGAGTTGATAGAGTAGCTTTGTGTGCTAGGTGTCCTATAGGGCCCAGTGGCTCAGCCTCCCCAGTTACCTGAGGTGGACACTCTTGGTGCAGCCCTTTGTGGGCTGTGTACACAGTCCTGTTGTAGTTAAGCCTTGATTGTTGTTGGTATTACTGGGGGGAATTGACTTCCAGGCCAATTGGCTCTGAGGATCAGCTGTGTCTATGCTGGGAGAACTGTGCTGGAGACACTCTTATGAGACAAGACTTGCAAAAGCCTGAGTGCTCAGCTTGGATGGGGCAGAGTCTCAGGACAGAGTAGACAGCATTGGTTTTCCTGTCATCCCTGCCATAAGAGGCCCCTGGGTGAGTTTCATTATTGGTGTATAAAAATTGAGATCAATTTCTGGGTGTTAACTTTGTATCCTGCAAATTGCCTAATTCCTTCATTAAATCTATAGTAGTTTTTTTTTAGTGGAATATTTAGGGTTTTCTATGTAGTATAATAATCAAGTTTTGTTCCTCTTTTGAATTTGGATGCCTTTTATGTTTCTTCTTATCTGATCTTGCTGTGGCAAGCACTTCCAGGAGTATATTAAATAAGAGTGGGGATAGCAGATATCCCTGTCTTGTTCCTATTCTTAGGAGAAATGCATTTAGTTTTTGCCTATTGAATATGATGTTGACTGTATGTTTGTCATATATGGCCTTTATTATGCTGAGATATCCCTCTATTCCCGCTATAGGGAAAGTTTTTACAAAAAATGGGTATTGAATTTTGTTGAATGCTTTTTCTATGTCTATTGATATAATCATGTGATTTTTGTCTTTCAGTTTGTTTATGTGATGTATACCGTGTATTGATTTGAACATATTGTACCAGCCTTGCATTCCTGGAATAAATTTCACTTGTTCATGGTGTATGATCTTTTTAATATATTCCTGGATCTAGTTTGCTAATATATTGTTGAGAATTTTAGCATCTATGTTCATTAGGGATATTGGCCTGTAATTATCTTACTTGTGGTGTCTTTATCTGGTGTTGGGACTAGGATAATGCTGGTCTTATAAAAAGAGCATGAAAGTGTTCCTTCCTCTTGATTTTATGGAATCATTTTGAGGAACATAGTTGGTAGCTCTTCTTTGAATGTTTGGTAGAACTCCTCTGTGAAGCCATCTGGACTTGGGCTTTTGTTTGCTGGGTGTCTTTTGGTTACTGCTTCTATTTAATCAGTTGTTAATTGGCCTGTTGAGGTTTTCTGATTCTTCTTGATTCAGTTTTGGAAGAATGTATTTTTTTTTATGAATTTATCTATTTCATCCACATTGTCCAGCTTGTTGGCATATAGTTGCTCATAGTATTTTCTTATAATCCTTTGTATTTTTGTGTTGTTACTTTTCCACTTTTGTTTCTGATTTTATTTATTTGGGTCTCTCTCTTGTTTTTTGATGAGTCTTACTAAATGTTCATTGATCTTGTTTATCTTTTCAAAGAACCAGCTCTTGGTTTTATTGATTTTTGTATTGCTTTTTTAGTTTCAGTGTCATCTATTTCTGCTCTAATCTTCATTATTTTCTTCCTTCTACTTACTCTGGGCTTTCCTTGTTGTTCTCTTCCTAGTTCTCTGATGTAGAGTTAAATAGTTTTTTGTTAAAAAAATTTTTTTAAGGTATGCCTATAATAGTGCTATGAACTTCCCTCTTGGGACTGCTTTTGTTGTGTCCCAGAGATTTTGCATTGTTGTGTGCTCATTTTCATTTGTTTCCAGGAAATTTTTTATTTCCTTTTTGTCCTCACTGGCAAATCATTCATTGTTTAATAACATGCTATTTAGCCTCCATGTGTTTGAATGCTTTTTTAATGTTTTTACTGTAATTGATTTCTAATTTCATTTCATTGTATCTGAGAAGACACTTGCTATGATTTCAATCTTCTTCAACTTGTAGAGACTTGTTTTGTGTCTTAACATGTGGTTTACCTTTGAGAATGACCCAGGTGAATTTGAGAAGGATGTATATTCTGCAGCTTTGGGGTGAAATGTTCTATAAATATCAATTAAATCCACCTGACCCAATGTGTCATTTAGATTTACTGTTTCCTTGTTATTTTTTGGTCTGGAAGATCTACCAGTGAAGTCAGCAGGGTGTTAAAGTCCCCAATTCTGACTGTATTGTTGTTTATCTCTCCCTTAAAAGACCTCTAAAGGTTTTGTTTTGTTTTGTTTTTAATATATTTAGGTGCTCCTATATTTGGTATACACATATGTTTACCAGGGTTATATCCTCTTGTTGGATTGATCCCTTTAGTATTATGTTGTGACCTGTATTGTCTCTTATGATGGCCTTTCATTTTGAAATCTTTTTTTTCATATCTGAGTATTGCTACCTAGCTTTTTTATTTTTCATTTTCATTTGCATGGGAAAATTTTTTCCATTCCTTCACTCTAATCCTGTGTGAGTCTTTGTTTTGAGGTGAATCTCTTGTTGCAGCACATAATTGGATCATGATTTTGTATCTATTAAGTTATCCTATGTCTATTGATTGGAGTATTTAATCTATTTACATTGAAGGTTATTATTGATAGGTACTTATTACCATTTTAATTCTTTATGCATATGTTTTTCTAATCCTATTTATCTCTTCTCATTACAGCAGTCCCTTTTGCATTCCTTGCAGTGCTAGTTTGGTTGTGAAGAACTCCTTTAGACTTTTTTTTTTTTTTTTTTTTTTGTCTGGGAAGCTCTTTATTTCACCACCTATTTTGAATGATAACCTTGCTTGATAAGGTAATCTTGGCTTTAGATCCTTACATTTCATTATCTTCAGTATTTCATGCCATTCCTTTCTGGCCTGTAGAGTTTCTGATGAAAAATCAGCTGACAGCCGTCTGGAAACTCCTGTGTAGGCAACAGTTTGCTTTTCTCTTATTGCTTTTAACATTTTCTCTTTGTCTTTAATTTTTGGCATTTTAATTATGATGTGTCTGAGCATAGGCCTGTTTGAGTTCTTCTTGGTTGGGACTGTCTGTGCCTCCTGAACTTTTTCATTTACAGAATTTGATTGTTTTTTTTTAAAAAAAATTCAGGCATCTAAACCATTCATTTGGTAGTTCTGATGCTATAAACATGCTTTTACTGAAGAATCCAGAAATATTAAACTTCTCATTCTCATCTAATGATTCAGTAGCTGCATATTCTCTGTTACATTGTGAAATGGAGAGACATCGTCAGGGTCTTCCAAGAAGCTTTAATGGAACCAGGACTCTTAACTGTTCCATTATTAGTCATGTCTTACTCTGAACCAGGCTGTTTAGATAGACAGGAGGTTTGCATGATCCATTCTGTGGACATGCACTACCTTTAAAGTCAAGTTGCTTCTTATCTCCTCTATTCACCTCCATTTCTAAAGAGAAAAATTGGTAGGGTGTGGGTAGATTGCAGTAATTTACTTTCTAATTGCTGGTTAGGCAGATGACTCAGGTGGAATGCAAATTGTCTGAACCAAGGTGTTTTTTTTTTTTCTTGTTCCCTCCCCCCCATTTTTTAATTGAGGTATTATATGTGTACACATCTTACCATTGCCTCCCCCACATGTCCTCACTCCCCAGTGATTTGCAACCATTGGTTATACTTATATGCATGCATAAAAGTTTTTTGGTTGATCTCTTATCCCTCCCACCTCTCCCTAATCTTCCCACTGTAATTTGACAGTCTGTTTGATGCTTTATCGCCTCTGTACCTATCTTTTTGTTCATCAGTTTTTGTGCATCAGTTTATAATGTTCTTTATTATCCACAAATGTGAACCAAAAGTTATCAGTCTCCGTTGATAACATTTAGGTCTGTACTTCTTGTCACTTGGATGGATAATTATATGCTGGGGAGAGCGACCTAAGGGGAGCTGTCACTTTATTAATGTAAGATGGAGGGAGAATGGGAAGAGATCAGCCTGTCCTCCTGATGTCTTTTCAATTTTTTCTGCTACATTTGACAGATCCTTCACTGATGGGGGTGAAAGACCTACAGGACATATGCATCCTCAGGATGAGTTTTGTGCAAGGCTGGGGATCGAAGTACCCAAGTCTGAGCATCAAGGAAACTCCTTGCTGGATTGAGATTCACTTGCACCCGGCCCGCCAGCTCCTAGACAAAGCTCTCCAGGCCATCTCTGTCAGCCGTTCACAACGTGTGCACTGAAATCTTTACTGTTGGAGCCCTTAACATTCATTGTCAGGATGGTGGACTAGAACATACAATCCTGTTTATAATCTGAAGATATATATCACTTTTGTTCTGCTTTATCTTTTCATAAAGGGTTGAAAACATATTTGCTGCCTTGCTCCTAGCAGACAGAAACTGGATTAAGACTTTTAAAAACAATTTTTTATTTTTTTTTCCTATTTAGAACTTTTCAGGCATGGCTCAGAACTTGAAGATCAGGAAAAACACATTCTTATTAAATTTACTTCACCAGTTATGTATGAAGGAATCATTGCAATCCTGGAAAATTTAGCCCTTTAAAATGTCTTTCACCTTTTTCTATGCAGAACATTGGTATATGTGCTATTCTAAGGAGTGAACTCAATATTGCTAATTTTAAAGGCAGAGACGTTCTCAAAGTTAATTCACCTACGTTACTTTGTGTGCATGTTGTTATTGTTGAGCAGATTTTACTTCAAAATATTGTGCCATGTGGTTGAGAGCAACTTTACACTATGTTTAAAAATACAAAACCTTTTATAATACATTGTAATGTATTATAATCTTTTATCCAAAATATATTTTCTGCAAGTTAAACTAGTGAAGATGATTTTAATTCAGATTGTCTTGTGACTTCTATTTTATTTTCACCAAGTAAACTCTGTGAATACTGAGAATTCCTTCAAATTATCAAAGAAACACCATTGACAAGTTCAATAGTTATCCCAGTTGGATAACGATTTCTCAAGTAGTATAACTTTCCCCTGTTAAACAGTAGATGTAGTCTATAATTCCAGGCACAGGATTGGCTACCAAGAAGCCTAGAAGAGCCATTTCTTTCCTTCATTAATTCACAGGGAAAGGTTTTGTATTTTTAAAAACACTAACAGCAGTGTCACTCCTCCAGCTCCCCATTCTGCAGAGGTGGCAGTGCTTAAAGTAAATGATGCGTATTTGGAAACTGCTAAGTTCTATGTCAGATCCTGTGTGGACTAATGGAAACATTACAGCTCATAATAGGCAGTTTGGCTATTTTTATACTTGATTTGATGTGACTTCTTTTTTATATACTCTTTAAATCATGTATTTTATGACATTGTTTTAAATTTAGTTTTTATATCTTGGGGCAAGACTGCAAACTTTTTATGCCTTTTGGTTTTTCTAAGCCCTGTGCCATCAGTGATCATATCAATTGGCAGTGACTTTGTATAGAGAATTTTAGTTGAAAAGTCGCAAATGTATTGACTGTACTACAGACACAACATGTATGCTTTTTACTTAGCTAGTAGCATAAATAAAACCGAATCTCAACATACACAGTTGAATTCTAGGTGTTTTTTTGTTTTTTTGTTTGTTTGTTTTTTTGTTTTTTTGTTTTTCAATTTGACATTGCTGTAGCACTTTTTTAAAATTAATATATTTTATTGATTTTTTACAGAGAGGAAGGGAGAGAGATAGCTACTGTAGAAACGTCGATGAGAGAGAAACATCGACTAGCTGCCTCTTGCACACCCCCTACCGGGTATGTGCCCGCAACCAAAGTACATGCTCCTGACCGGAATTGAACCTGGGACCTTTCAGTCCGCAGACTGACGCTCTACCGCTGAGCCAAACCGGTTTCGGCGAATTCTAGGTTTGATTTTTAAGTTTTTCCTTTTGCACTTTTGAGTCCAACCTCAGAGGCGAGACACCTTCTAGGAAATGGCAGGCAGCAGCCGGTACTGCAGCTTTGGTTTTCCCCTCCCTCTACCGGGACTTCCCGGGGACATGATGTATCAAGGGTAGAGTTGGTTGTGTTTTGAAGTTTTATTTTACTGCAGCAAAAATAGGCCTGGTTGTCTACAAGATACATAGGTTGTCTACAGAATAAATAAATGTGTGGCATAAAATCCAGGATTATCTTTCTGATGCCCTTACCGCTTGCTTGGAAGATCTTTCTAAACATAATAAGATTCTAAGGTAGGTGTGTTCCAGGTTTGAGGAACACTTATTATGCATGCCAGTTATCCTTATTGGTTTAGAAAAACTAGTCTTCAGCTTCCTTGCTCAGAAGGTATTCTTAAGACCACCCTAGAAACCAATGGGTTAGCTTATTTAAACATAGATTTTGATCCAAGCTACATGGCTTTTGTTTTCAAAGTATTTCTCTACGAACATATTTGTACTCTTGAGTACTAACAACTACTTTTGTTACAGACCTCATTACAACTTGTAAACGTTTGCTTATTTAAATATTATTGGCAGGTTTTAACAAGATATTACTTTATAGAAATGATTGACTGCCACAACCTTTTGCAACAAGAATTCAGGATCTGAAGAAGGGGCTGCACATAAACGGATGCACTAGACAGATATAAATTTAGAAGGCACCGGGGAAGCCAGGCAGAGGCTTTCCTCTAGTGGCGAAGCTCTCCTAATCTCCAGACCCAATAGCTTTTATTTACTGGAATACACATTTTCCCTTTAGCAAAGCAAACAAGCATATCAAAGGTGAAGTTTGTTAAACAGTAAAAGATTATCAGGTTAGAGGATTGCCTTGTGCTACCATTGTCTTGACAGAACAATCAGTGCATAGCTTTTAGCCCTTGTTAAAGCTCAAGGTCCATCAGCTTTTTGTATTCCCTGCTGCACTTTCATGATAGTGTACTGTAGACAATGGGTTCCAGCTTCTAGCATCTCCCCCTTTTTTTGTTTTCATAATAAATTTAACAAGAATTAGAGTTTTTTCATGTTCTTTTTAAATTGCTGCCAGAGAGAGGAAGGGCAGCTGAGTGCCTGGCTGTCTTTCTCTGGTGGGAGGCAGAAGGAAGCTCCTGACTGCACCATACCTCAGTTCTGGGCAAGACCCTGTGGACCAGGCTCATACGGGGGGAGTCTGGACTATCGGGTAGAGAAAAAGGCACAGATAAAGCTTTCCACTGATTTTAAGAGAGAATAAATCCTCGAATCATTCCAGGGCCCTTGGAATGTCCCAGGCTATCTCAGTTAAAGTCTTAAAATTTAACTTGGAAAGACTATCAAATATACATAACTCAAAGATTATATTATATACTTTTTTGTAATTATTCTAAAATATATCAATTAAATTGAAATTGTTTTTTATATTAAAAATTTGGTTCAGACCATAGAATTAATCCTTCTTTTTAATCAGACCATATAAAATATTATATCCTAGATTGAAATTTTACCACACATAGTACACATAAGGACTATAATATATTTTGAACTACTAATTTCTCCAGAGAAACTGAAGAATCATTCTTCTCAAAAATGAATTTGTATACTTTATGCATTTTATTATCACAACTATTTAATTCCTCCCAACTTAATTTGGACTTTAAACCCTTTGAAGCCTCAAATTTTAGGTGGCAAGGTAAATACTTAGCATTTCTTAGATGAGTAATATATTTATATTTTTAAAGATATATTTTAAATAAAATATAAGACATATTTAATTAATAGATTAAATTCTCTCCTTTAGATTTTTCATATGAAGCAAACTCCGATTAATATTTCAGTATTCTACCCTGACCAGTTTGGCTCAGTGGATAGAGCATTGGCCTGCAGACTAAAGGGTCCTGGGTTCAATTTCGGTCAAGGGTATGTGCCTTGGTTGCGGGCACATCCCCAGTAGGGGGTGTGCAGGAGTCAGCTGATCCATGATTCTCTCTCATCAATGTTTCTCTCTATCCCTCTCCCTTCCTCCCTGTAAAAAAAAATCAAAACATATTTTAAAAAAATATTTCAGTATTCTGTTATTTCAAAATATTTAGCTATTTAATAATTTTTATTAATTCAGCAAACTCCAAAGTTACCAAAGACTTTGTAAAACTATATGAGGCTGGCGAAAAGGTAAGGGGAGGAAGAAAGCAGCCTGAATTTTAAAAGCACCACTTTTTCCCTTAGAGAAAGACCAGTCCCCTCCTCCAACAGAGAGCTTTAGCCAGTCTCCCCCCTAAGTGGCTGGACCCCCACCATCAATATATTTATAATTATTAATGAAAAGCTTCACCGCAAATTCTTCATTTCAGTTACATCTATTTATCCATATTTCAACAATTTTGATATTTTAAAGCCAATTGCTATTATTTAAGGCATTTACTTTGTCAAATTCTGCAACAGAGACAGTTTACTGACTTTCAGTGGCCTTAATGTTAACATTGGAATGCAGTCTATTGTTATTCAAGAACGACCCTTTATTATGGGAATACTAATCTTGTTGCCTAAACCAGCATGTATATTTTCCTTGTGCCATTTTTGCCATCTTTTAAAGAAAAACAGTCTTGGGTTTACTCTATAGTATCCATAAAGAGATGGAGTCAGCCCAAGAGGCCACCCAAAGTTGGATGGGGCACACCTTCTCTTAAGCTAGCCTTTTTCTCCCCACGGGTACATAAATCCCAGATGTATCCCCATTGTGAGAGTGTTTCATCTATCCAAATTTCAAATGACAGCCTGGGAAATAAAAACATCATGAAAATGAGACTTTTAATAACACACTTATGAGTGGGTGTCCATTTTACAGGATCATCAAAAGAACCTAGTAATTAATGGGCTGGAGCCTTTTTAGTTATTTCTACCTCCTTTTGCCTCCTAGGACCTGTATCATTGGCCATGTGTCTCCCCACCCCCATATCCTGTTTGCTCTGGGGAAATTCAGTAAATGGCCTGGCCACCTAGGTTTCTTTACTTATTAAATTAAAGGCATGCTTAATAGAATAACAATAAACAACAAAGACAGATAAAACTACAATCAACAGACAGGTACCCATAACACATAGACAAGACTTAATAAATCAGAGTTCTGCCGAAACCGGTTTGGCTCCGTGGATAGAGCGTTGGCCTGCGGACTGGAGGGTTCCGGGTTCGAATCCGGTTGGGGGCATGTGCCTTGGTTGTGGGGAACAGACCCAGTGGGGGCTGTGCAGGAGGCAGCTGGTTGATGTTTCTCTCTCATCAATGTTTCTAGCTCTCTATCCCTCTCCCTTCCTCTCTGTAAAAAATCAATAAAATATATTTAAAAAATAAATAAATCAGAGTTCTTTTCCTAGATCTTTCTTTCCATAGCATTGACTGGCCTCTAAAGTTATTTAGCTAAAATCTGTCTGTCCCAAGGCTTCATATGGCATTTTTCAGACAAAGCATTAAAGTTATCAGTCCATTTACAAAGTCCTAGAGCTACAAGCATGCCATGACATAATCTATTGCCCCCTGTTCTATTTTAAGTCCTTTTGTAAATGGACTGATAGCTCTATTTTCTCTAGCTGTTGAGCCTTTCCATACTAGAGGCAGAGGACCCTGGGGCCTTATGTATTAACGACTTTTGATTCCCAATTATGAATTAGGCGTAATGCAGTTTGAACAAGAGTCCATATATCAATAGTTAAAGATGACAAGGGCACTCATTTTCCTTGAGTCTGGTTTAAGAGAGTAACTTTAGACATTTTAATTTCTTTATCTTTGAGCATATAAACCTAAAATTTACAATATTTTTGACTTTTATTCAAATTTCCCCCCATTATGGCCTGGCTTGAAAAATGCATTCTCACCCACGTACAGATCACGACTTCCAAAGCTTGGCATGAGCTTTATGTGTAGTGAGTCTCCCCACCCTTTTCGGCGATCCAACCTTTCCAGTGAACTTTCTTCATTTCTCCCACCAGCAAATCTTCTCCAGATGTTCCTTTTGAGGCATGAAAATGCCGCAACCTTCTTCAGCAAGGATTCAGGATCTGGAGAAGGGGCTTCACATAAATGAATACACTAGACAGATATAAATTTAGAAGGCATCGGGGAAGCCAGGCATAGGTTTTACTCTAGTGGCGAAGCTCTCCTAATCTCCAGCTTTTATTTACTAGAATACACATTTTCCCTTTAGAAAAGCAAACAAGCATATCAAAGATAAAGTTTGTTAAACAGTAAAAGGTTATCAGGTTAGAGGATTGCCTTGTGCCACCATTGTCTTGACAGAACAATCAGTGCATAGCTTTTAGCCCTTGCTAAAGCCCAAGGTCCATCAGGCTTCTGTGTTCCCTGCTGCACTTTCATGATAGTGTAGACCACATGTGTCAAACACAAGGCCCGCGGGCCAAATCCGTCCCGCCAGGCCTTACAATGTCGCCCGCACCGCGCTGTCATCACTGCACTCCGCTGCGTTTCCATCACAATGACAGTTTATGACTGTTCAGTAAACCATTCGGCCCGTGATTTAGGCTGGATTTTAGATTTTGGCCCCTTCTCTGATTGAGTTCGACACCCCTAGTAGACAATGGGTAGCTTCCAGCAACTGAGTTTAGGCCCATGTTACTGTGAATGAGGAGTGGAGGTGAGAGGAGTTTTAGAATGACATATTTTTAAAATCCAGGTTATTTGACTAGAGCTACAAGCATGCCATGACATAATCTATTGCCTCCTGTTCTATTTTAAGGAAGGTTTTCATGTTTAGTGAAACATGAAATCTGGGTAGTCACTTGTGGAAGACATTTGCAAAGAAGTCTTGGGTTTAAGGTCTAGCCACCTGTCTTGCTTGTTCTGCTAAAAGCCAGATAAGTACGCAAAAGCAGGAAAGGTAGAGCTGGGGCTGGACTGTAATGAGGCTTAAGGACCGCATAGAGGACTGTGAACTTCAGTAAGAGAGTGAGGTCAGTTTAACATGTTTAGATGTTAGAATGCTTCTTGTCATCACCCAGAAGGGAGAGAAACACGGGCACTGAAACTGGGAGTCAATCCAGTCATTACCATGGCCACAAAGGCAGCACAGATGGTCTCATAGGAAGGAAAGAGGAATCAAGGGTGAAATAAGTACCTCCTTGCAGGGTGTAAGGCAGCACCACCCGTAAAAGCTGTAGACCTTTTGCTTGCAGGGACAAAGCAAGCCCGAGAGCCTTAGTGATAAATGAAAATCAGACCACGATCAAGTTGCCCTTGGCAGTTGTTATGGGTTGTGTCCTCCAAAAAACAAACAAACAAAAAACGTTGAACCCCAACCCCTGGTTCCTGTAAATATGACCTCAGAAGTAGGGTCTCTGCAGAGATACTCGAGTGAATGAGGACACTAGGGAGGCCCTCACGCAATGTGACTGACGAGAAGAGGAGAGATACAGGCTGACACGCAGGGAAAGCGCTCTGTGAAGATGGGGGCAGAGATGGAAGGGATGCATCTACAGGTCAAGAATGCTAAGATCCCCAGCGACCAGCAGACGCTGGAGGGACAGGAATGGTCCTCCCTGCAGGATTCTGAGGGAACGTGGCCTGTGGGCACCTCGCTTTTAGATTTCCGGCCTCCAGAACTGAGGGAATGTTTCTGCTGATTTTGTTGCCTTATTTGTGGTGCTTTGTTCCAGCTGCTCTAGGACATTTGTACATTTATTCATTCGCTCACTCATTCTTTCAATACGGTGTTACAGGCAGTCAGACAGACATGAGCCAAGCAAGGACGATGGGCTGGGTACAGACACCAGGGTAAAGGGCCCCAGGTGCCTCACAAGGAGCAGGACTGGGAAAACAAGGCCCCAGGGTCACCTCTCCTCCTCTAGCATATAGCTGGTCCTGCGTTTCCACCCCCTGACCTTTCCTCCCTAAAGATAACATCTAGGCCTCAGTTGTATTTCAGCTCCAGGCCTGGAAAAGCAGCAAAACAGACAAGTGACCCCATGGCTGCCTCAAGACCAGCTGAGGGTCATGGCTAGTGACCCCATGTCCTGATCATGGCCAGTTGAGGGTTATTGTCTACTTACCTCCCCCCTGTCTCTGGTGCTGACCAGCGGAGGGTCATTGATAGTGACCCTCCATGCTCTGGTGCTGACCAGCGGAGGGTCATTGGCTAATGACCCCATGCCCTCTTGCTGACCAGCTGAGGGTCTTTGATCAATGACTCCGTGCCGGGTGCTGACCAATCAGTGGAGACCAAGACCCTGAAAAAGCACACCTGGGAAGCTGATGAATATTCTATTGAAACCCTCCCCTGAGACCTCCCCAACGATTCCCACGTGCAAGAGAGGGATAAATAGCCTCAGGAGGAAGGACCCAGGGCAAGCTCTCCCCCAGGGTAAAAGCCAACCTCACTCCCTTTTCCCTTCTTTTCTCTAAGGGACCTCATGAGACCTGCAACCAGGGGAGCAATGGGCAGCGGCAGCTCGTCCCAGGCTAACCCCTGACCCTGTCTCCAAAGCCCCCTTTTCTCTGACTTCTCAGTGAGCAGAGCAGCCCAGCCTGGGCTCTCCTGCTGCTGCTTCTATCCCTTCCTGTCTCACTGTCCTGAGTATATTTTTGCTCCCAGGAAGTCCTTACTTACCTCGCTACACTTTATCTCTTGACTGAAATCTTTATTTCAAGAAGATAAGAACGGCTGGTTTGGCTCAGTGGTAGAGCTTCAGTCTGCGGACTGAAAGGACCCAGGTTCGATTCCGGTCAAGGGCATGTACCTTGGTTGCGGGCACATCCCCAGTAGGGGATGTGCAAGAGGCAGCTGGTCAATGTTTCTCTCTCATTGACGTTTCTCTCTCTATATCTCTCCCTTCCTCTCTATAAAAAATCAATAAAATATATTAAAAAAAGAAAAGAAAAAGAAGACAGGAACGCAGGTCTTGTCCTCTTCTTGGTGACAATGGAATGTGTGCCAGGGGTCTTGCTCTCGGCACGGTGAGACCACAGCAGTGCAGGAGGCCTGGCAGGTGCTGACGCCGGGCCTGGCAGGCTGGGCTCTCTACAGAGCCTGTGCTGGGCCAGCCACCTGGCAGTCTTCTGCAGGGAACAAAGGCTTTGGGGACGGGAGCCTCAGTCCGGAAAGAGAATGGCTGATGGGCTCACAGGGGCAGGTGAGGGCCAGTCTGTGCAGTGAGGACCGCAGACAGGACCACTCAGGCAGGAAGGGAGTAATCTGAAATCCCCCTGAGCGGGGAAACGAGCAATATCTGTGCCTGTTCTCAGGTGACCTCCTGCCCAAGCTGGTAGCTGACCGCACCTGGAGGTGCCCTCCGACCAGCCTTTTCTCCTTGGGGCCCGTTTGACAACCTCTATCCACCGCGTCTTTAAGCTTCAGCTTCTTTATCTGCGAAACGCGGACAGGCTCACACAGCACTCAGGGTTGGTGTGAGGATAAATTGAGGAAAACGTCTGTGAGTAGTTAACTATGTGCCGGGTGTCTAAGAAGAGGCTAATGCAGGCTCACAGTTAGCCAGGTGCCCGGGTATAGGAAGGGGCTGATGCAGCTCAGCTGTCACCACCCCATCACCCTCAGGCCCTTAATGGGAACCAGGTGTTTGGGGGCCGCCCTGACCTTTGACATGCACGGGCCTGGCTATCCCTCCAGCCCAGGGAGGGGGCTTTTTGCATCCTCATTGGGGCGCTGGTGACCTCCGCCCTCAACCCTGCACTCCTACCCGCCCCCCCTCAGCCCCCAACCCCAGCGCGGCTGTGCACACAGCCTGTGCCCCGGGCGCAGCCTGGCTGCCTTGGAGCTCGGGGGGGCAGCGGCGGGAGCTCAGGTGCGGGGCGGGGAAGCCCTTTGCCTGGACGCTCGCCCTCCCCAGGGAACCTGACCCGCAGAGCCGCCCACGGAGCCCGGGAGGGGCTGGGGAGGGGGTTTGCGGGGAACGGCAGGCAGCCAGCACAGGCCGCCCGCGGGGTCAGGGAGCCCGAGGCGCGGGCAGCCGGGCGTTAGCTGGCCGGGCCGGGCCGGGTTTGTCCCCGGAGGAGCCGGGCGCTGGGGCGGGCTGGGCGGGGACAGGTCTCAGCAGGCCCAGCGGAGGTCCGGGCGAGGTCCCGGAGGGAGGGATGGAAAGGGTTCAGGGAGGGAGGGAGAGAAGCGGGAGGCGCCTCTGCGGGCGGGCCACTTCCTGTGATGACCACCAGGGGTCGCCATTGTCGCGCCAAGGCGTTGGCGGCCGCGTCTGCCCCGGAGGCCCTCCTCCCAGCTGCCCCGGTGAGGTCGTCCTGGGAGGGGACACCCGGGGTCCCAGCCTCCTGGAGCCGCTCGCCGGGACCAGAGCCCGGTGGGGAGGTCTGTGCAGAGGGTGCTGGCACCCGGACAAGCATTGGCTCCCATGTGGGTTCCCCTGTGGATGGGCTTCCGCCAGGGGCTGGGGCGCCCACCTGCTGTGCATGTGTTGCTCACTACCTTGCCTGCACCCCAGCTCCATAGGCCAGTGCTCAGCAAGGTGAAGCCTCATTTATAACTAAAGTCTTATATTCCCTCTCCTTCCCTCCCTCAGAGGCAGGCTGCCCTCTCCTGCAGGCTCATTTGGCTGCCAGGAGCACCCACAGGTCTCCGGGCAACGAAGAGCTTCCAAGCCTTCATTGGGGGAGCTTATGGGGGGTCCCGGCTCCAAGGGCACCCCATCCGGGCAGGCCTCACTTCTGGAAGCTCTGCACATCCTGGGAGACAGGTCTGGGCTCCAGGCCCTGGGGCGTGGGGGAAGGATGCCCTCAGGGTCAGCAGAGTGACCAGCTGAGCATCCCAGGGTGCTGGCCCTCCTGGCGGTTTCCTGCCCTCAGTGCGGCTCAGTCTGCATCTCCTTCCTGAGCCTGGGTGCAGCCAAGCGGCCTCCCCATGACCCCATCAAACTCTGCCCCCTGAGATGCATGTCTGCCCACAAGTCCCAGCAGGGCAGCTTGGCCCTGGAATGTCAGAGAGCGGAGAGAAGCCCTGGCCCCAGGACACCCCGGCCTGCAGAGCCAGCTCCCTGTGTTTGTGCCTGGAGGCCTCTCAGTGCCTCAGTTTCCCTGTGGGAAGGGTGAAATGGTCACCTTTCCCTTTCGTCGTGGGAGGTGAAAGAAACAAGTCGGATCAGGTGGCAAGCTCAGCTGCCCGGTGGGGAGGGGGGCGATGCAATGCGGGAGCAGCTGGTACAGGGTCTCTCCTGAAGCACGAAGCCCACCTGGGCCCGCTTTCATTTCTTCGCCTTTTGTTAGAGACAAGTGTGGGACAACCACTTCCTGTTCCTCTGACCTCTAGGACCCACGGGTGACAGCCCTGGGCCGCCCTGGCCCCTGTGAGGGAGACGGGGGGGAGGGGGGGGGCGAGGGCTGTGGGACTGGGGTCTGAGCCATGGGCAGGGGGGCAGCGGGCCGTTGCCAGGCAGGAAAGCCAACCCCGTGCGGCCAGATCGAATTTTTCAGACGTTGGAAGCTGTATGTTGATGGCCATTTCCTAATGTTGAAACTTTGGCAAATGATACAAAAAGCTGGAAAGCGCTGTGGGCCAATCAAAACAGAGCCGAGGGCCAGGTCCAGGCCTGACACTGCCAGCGGGTGGACCTCACACCCAGGCCTCCCCCCGGCCACGCGCGGCCCATGGCCCCCGCCCAGCCCTGTCCGCGGGGACAGGCCCGGGCCCGGCCCCCAGGCTGCGGCTGGCATGCAGCTGGAGGCACGGCGCTGCTTCATTCTGGGCCCACGTCTCCGGTGCTTTCCGGGAACCTGGCACCCCCTTTCGCACTGTTTCAGGGGAGCAACTCCAAACGGCTCCCGAGCTCGGCAGGGATGCTCGGGGACCCCGCCTGAGCCTGTTTTGTCATCTGCAAAGGAGGGGCCCCCCTGACCCTCCTCCACACCAAGCCTTCCTGGCTCCGGGACCAACGTTTGGGGCTGGTGGGAGGGAGTTTGTGACATATATTAACATGCAACAGTCCAGGCGTGGTTTTAGCCGAGTCTCTAAGGCTGTGCTGTCCCCAAGAAACACTGGACGCCGCTTAAAAAGTTATAAAGACGTAGGTAAGATTCATTTTAATGAGGCATGTGATCTAAAGCAATACACGAAACTATCAGTGCAATGGGTCATCGCTGTCAAAACCACTGAGATCCTTGAAAGGACGGGGACCCCTGTGGATGTCACACGTAAGGCGCCTCTGGTGGCTCAGGAGCCACGTGGCCAGCGGCTCCCACAGTGGATGGCGCAGCCGAGGAGGGAAGTGAGGACAACCCCCCTTTGCTGGGGCCACCTGAGCAGGAATGAGAACCGGCCTTTCCCGGCGCGGGAAGGCTGTGCTGTCCTCCCTCGCCCTGAATGCATGTCCTCACGCTGAGGGTGGCCAGCCACGTCCAGCTTACCCAGCATGCTCTGCTCCCCGGCCCATTCCCACTGGACGGCTGAATAGGCAAGTGAGATGAGCGCCCCCGGGAGACCTGTCGCCGTCCAGCCCCATAGCCTGTGAGCCGGGGGGCCGTCCCCTGTCCCGCACCCCCACCGGGGGGAGCCAGAGGCCGCTGTGAGCGGGAGGAGGGGACCGGGCCAGGAGCAGAGACACCCGCAGCCCCCTTTCAGAGGCAGGCAGCAGCAGGGCCTGGGGGAGAGCAGTTTTCGTTTTTCCTGGTTGATCCTCACCCGGGGAATTTTTCTCATCGATTTTTAGAGATGGTGGGAGGGAGGGGGGAGGTGAGAGACATCGATGTGAGAGAGACATGGATTAGTTGTCTCCCGTCCCCTCTCCAGCCTAGGGGTTTGGTGCCTGGAACCCACACCTCTCGTGTGTGGACCATGTCTCAAACCACCGAGGGCCCCCCCCTCCCCCCCAGGCCCACTGCATGAGGAAATGCATTCTGGATCCTGAGCGAGCAGGTCCCTGAGCTTGCCCGAGGCTGGGCGGCTGCGGGAGGAGGGGGGTGGTGGCTGGCTGTGGGCTTGGTTAGCACTGAACTGTGTATGCAGCGAACAGCATGTGTGTGCCAGGGCCCCGCCGGCCTCCTGGAGGCCCCT